GCCTCGATCAAGGATTGCCACTTTCTGACGAGAGATCTGAGCTTGTCTGATGTGAAGTCGAGACCGTGGAAGTTGGTCAAGCAGTTCTTTCCTTGAACCTCATCGACACGGAGCTTAACCTTGCGGAAAGCGTGGTCCTCATCCTTTTGCAAATCGGCCAAAGAAACCTCGACGATTCTTCCCTTCAATGAGTCGTTGGCGTTCTTGAGACCGGTGGTTCTGTTGACAAGGGTCTTTCCGACACTGTAGAAATTATTAGATGGAATTCGAAAAACAAGTAATGGGATTGTCGTACTCTCTGATTTGGAATGAAGATGGTGCCTGTGATAAATATTGTCAGTCTCGGCGGATGAGGTTCTTGCGTCAAAATTCAACATACCTTGATTTGGTACCAATCTTTACGGGTGAAGGGATCCAAGGTCTTCTTCTTCAAACCCTTCTTGCCCTTAGAGAGACGCTTATTCCTGTCGTGCTGTCAGATTCCAGTTCTTGATGCTTTGCCCCTCGTCCTCCTTCAATTGTCGCGAAGCCGCCATATCGAATTTGTGTTTATTGCGATTCATCGATTTGCAATAGCACAGTATCGAGGAAACAGGACATAATAGCGAGGAGTTTACTCACTTTCCGACAGCCATGATTGCGATTAGTTACCTTTTCGCCGACTGAGATTGAATTGTTGAGTGGGCGTTGGTGGTCTGGTGAAATCAAGAAGAGGTCTTCAAACAATTTTGATTTCTGTGCGTAAATGAAAATTAAGCGAGTTATTTTTGATAGTTCAAATGGCCCAAGCGCTAAGAAGGGTCAACGTACTAAGAAATTGCGGTATGTCCAATCATTGAAAATAGATGGGAAAACTTTTGCAAATTTGATACGATAATTAAAGCAATTTCAGGTGAGGGTGGAGGGGGCCAATTCACTTGGATTCATGAGAACATCGAAGAGTGTTGTGTTCTATCTCGATTCCTGATGTTTGGCTTCTTCTCCCAGTGGTAAGTAAGGATCTCTTCATATACCTCCGTAGACAGAAAAAGCGACACACCAATCGCTCATACGCTGGCTCAAGCATTAAATGCATTTGGATCTTTGATATTACATAGGATAATGCCAATTATAATAATTGTAGTTTACATATTGCTACATAGTTCCCGGTACGTGCCAGTATCCATATCAATTGAACCTGCCCATTAGATATGCAGGTAGATATTCTATTTAACTCCCAATTCAAACTTCTCCCAGTTGGATTCAACATCGAATCCCTATTGAAAAGAACATTCGCGGATGATCTATTTTTGCCATCACCCGACTGCACATCCTGCACTTCCTATCCTGTCCATCCCGTACAACTTATCCCGTCCATGTGGAAAGATGGTAACTGGTACCGGCATCGCTATCACTTGACTTGACCTCTTATTACTTTATTACCATGTGACTTTGTGGAAATAAAGCAAATAATGAAAATTCTCATGTAAGTTCATTGTTCCCGGAGCCTCGCCGAGCCTTGCCGATGACACGATATCCTTCCAGAGCAATACTTTGCGAGTTTGTGCTTGTCATGCCCCTCAACTTTACTAGGTTTTGACTCATCCATACATGATCATAGAAAACTTAAATTGTTGATTAATCCCTTGACTTTTTGAAGATTCATTTCCTATATTCTTCATTCATCGCTCATTATTCTTTATACTTTTTCTTACTCATATTCAGACTTCTCAGTTAATTGCTTCAGAAAATGACTACACCACAAGATATCGTTGGGGCAAGCGGCCTTTCAAGAATGGTCTCCAATAGCATGAACCTGAGCGGCTCCCCTACATTGAGTTTCCATTCTCCACCCTCGAGCTATGGAGGTTCGATGTCGAGAGCAAATGCACAAGCCCAGGCCAAGCAATTGAAGCCATTTGATAAAGAAAACATTAAGATCTTGCTCTTGGAAAATGTCAACCAAAGTGGAAAGGATATTCTTACCGGACAAGGATACCAAGTTGAATCACTGAAGAGTTCTTTACCAGAGGCCGAATTGATCGAGAAGATTCGGTATGATGAATGAAGCCAACAAAGAAACAAGCCTTGCTAACAACTATTGTACAGAGATGTCCACGTTATTGGAATAAGATCGAAAACCAAGCTCAGCGAGAAAGTCCTTCGTGAAGCCAAGAACCTGATTGTGGTGGGATGTTTCTGTATCGGCACAAACCAAGTTGACCTTGACTACGCTGCCGCACATGGAATCGCAGTCTTCAACTCTCCATTCGCCAACTCTAGAAGTGTAGCAGAATTGGTCATTGCGGAAATCATTGTCCTTGCCCGTCAACTCGGCGACCGATCAAACGAATTACACAATGGAGTTTGGAACAAAGTTAGCAACAAATGCTGGGAAATTCGTGGAAAGACTCTTGGTATGTGATTGCACTCATGCCTTCTTTTTGCATACGGCTAATTCTCGATTTCAGGTATAATTGGTTATGGCCACATTGGATCACAACTATCTGTTCTTGCCGAAGCCATGGGCATGTCAGTGATCTACTACGATGTTGTCAACCTCATGGCTTTGGGTACCGCCAGACAGGTTCCTACTCTTAATGAACTGCTCAACACTGCGGACTTCATCACATGCCACGTTCCAGAACTTCCAGAGACTAAGAATCTTATCGGAAAAGCACAATTCGATCAAATGAAGGAGGGAAGCTATCTTATCAATGCCTCCCGTGGTAGTGTGATTGATATTCCAGCTCTCATTGAAGCCTCGAGAAGTGGAAAGATTGCTGGTGCAGCTTTGGATGTATATCCAAGCGAGCCAGGTGGAAATGGACCTTACTTTACAAACGAGTTGAACACTTGGGCGGAGGATCTCCGTAACCTTAAAAACATCATTCTCAGCCCTCACATTGGTGGCAGTACCGAGGAGGCCCAACGTGCTATCGGCGTTGAAGGTATGTGCTTCTCCAGCATTGGAAATATCATCGGCTAACATGATTTTTTAGTTGGTGACGCTCTTGTGAGATACGTGAACTTGGGTGTTACCCTTGGAGCTGTAAACTTGCCCGAGGTCAACCTTCGCTCGCTTACACTGGACGAGTCCAACCATGCTAGAGTGAGTTCATTTCCTGTAGTTATACGATCGATTTACTGATTTCAACAGGTCATCTACATCCATCACAACATTCCTGGTGTTTTGAGAAAAGTTAACGAAATTCTCGGCGACCACAATGTAGACAAGCAAATTACTGATAACAAAGGCGATGTAAGTAACTTTTGGTGTTCAAACTGTTGCAATCATGTGCTAATACCTTCCAGGTTGCCTACCTCATGGCTGATATCAGCAATGTACAAACTAGCGATCTCAAGGATATTGTTGAAAGCTTAGAAGGCTTGAGCTGTAAGTTCCTCTACACATTTACTCAATCATACAAAACTAACATAATCAGCACGTATCCTTACCCGTGTGCTTTATTAAGCAACGAATAAATAGAATTAGATGTACAAATTTGCATTTGGAGTTTTGGATCAAAAGGGCATTCAACAGGAGTGGCGGCGCTTGGCCTTGGGGTTGCATCTAAACAATCCCTTCAACATAGGCAGGGCGGGGGACGCAAAAAAAGGTTCACATGAGAATTGGAAAATCGGATCAAAAAAGTTGTACATTACCTAGGCATAGGATATAGCCCAATACATTTATTCTATTGGAAATGAAACACCTGCTGGCTCCAATCATCATTCTGAAGAACCAATTAGATTAATCGTATAGGGTCTGTCTCGAAAGTGAATTAAAATTAGAAAAATTTCATTAATGTGTTCAATGAGCAATAGTGGCCAAGCGGCACTGATCCGAATATCATGGAGGAGCCATGAGTATTGCATATGATGAACTGAAAGATACAAAACTGGGTTAGAATTACGCTGTTTGAGCCAATTTTCGGCATTCACACCTCTATGGTCATATGAATATCTTTATTTTGTTTCTAATCTAGTGTTATGAGACACAAGAGCTCGACTTTGGAATGCTATGATAAGTTCATTGCGTATCAGGTTAAAAAAATCGATGCAAGTTTTCTCTCAATCATTTACATTCTCTTTAACATTCGGACCTCTGTTGTCCATCGCACAACAATCAATCAATCAGTCAATCCACTCATAACAAAAGCAAACACGCACGAAATCAAAGAGACTTTTCAAAGTGTTCGATTAGATTGTTAAATAAATACCAGGTATTTTTTTTTGAATAAATACCAACGCCCAAGACCAATGTATATATGAAAGGGTATATAGTGTAAGGAATGAATACCAGCCATAAATACAGGTTCCCAATGTACACCGAATCAAACATTAACCCATATATACGGAGCACTGTTTACCCCAGGGGGATAACATCCCATTCATTCCATTCCGATCGACAGCAACCCCTCATTCGTCAGAAATCCGAGATGAGAACTTAGAAGCTCACCCACCCCCGGATTCACCAAGAGAAATCCTCAGATTCATGATCGAATCGACCCAAATCGACCCACCCTATGCTTTTTACTAAAGAATTACCACCAGTCCCGTGTTCCGGACGCCCTGAACACTTATCCCGTCCGTCCATGCATGTGTCCATTCCATCCGTGTGCTGCACGGAAAAAGGTATCAAAGAATATCCGAATATCGAAACCTGTCCGTCCCAAGAACCAGCCCAAGAATTTATTACTATGATGATGATGATGATGATGAACGATCGTCTCGTCCCACTTATATACTTTATTTTTTTCTCCATCTCTTTTCTCCATCCCGACTATCCAAACAAGCGATTTATGGAGAGCGTTTCATGAGACGCTCTTTCGTTCCATCCTCTCATTTGGTTCTTGGTATCCTTGAAAATCTTCAAACGAGGGAAAGCTAAAGTAGCCCGCTGCTATCACTTTAATCAGTCATTTGTCTTCTTAGGGAACCTCAAGGCCGTAGCCCAGAAAAGGAAGTGCAGAGAGAAAGAAGGCTTAAAAAAAAGGGGGGTAGAGAAATAGAAAATACTAACACTGAAAACCACCCGAACACCCCTTCATCCCCAATTCCTGCTTACAGCTCCGGGCCAATCCGCTCCCACTCTCTGGACTTCGAGGACTGCGATTCCCAGGCGTCGAATACGCACTGCTGCTATCTCTCCTCGAGCCGCCGCCATTCATGTGATCTTGCTGAGCCGAGTAGCTAGCCACCCTCGTGAGAATCGACGCTGCTTTGGTCGAAGCATGGAGCGTAGCGAGATCCTTACGCAAGGCATTGCCGGTGACGAGGGAAGGCGCCGTGGCATGTGCTCTCATGAGTTTGGGTCGAGCAGACATGCTGGGCGAGGATCCGCGAGATTGAGTTTTGGTGGACATGGTGAATTTCTACAGAGGGGAATTGTGATTGGTTGAGTCACGTTTGATGTACGGTTGAGGCGAAGGAATGATCGTCCTGTGATAATATATAACCTTACGTCTTCTCCACTTGGGTCGAATGATAATCCGGAGCAGGCCGATTGATGAGATTGGGTGAAATTGATGATAGATTTGAAGCTTTTGACGATATTAATTCTTCGTAGAGAAGTAAGTGATCAAGAGTATATTAATTCCGGGGAAGGTTTTCTAGAAGGAAAGAAAGAGGAGTAAAGCAAGTCGGGCGATGCACTTGTCTATATTAAATAACACACACAAAAAGCATGGCAGGCCTGTCAAGCAAATGCAAAACACTACGTAGATAAACAACTCAGGCCGGTTTAGGGCATCCTTACCAGAAAGCCGATAAAAAAGAAAAGGGTCGGTCTGGCCACATGTCAGACGGTGAGCTAATTGCCGCAATCGTTGCGTCCACGCCAACAATAATGATGTGGTGGGTTGTTAATGGTTATGGTGTTGTACACATGCATCAAACGTGCATGGAAAAAGGTGGGCAAGCTTACCATCCAAAATACACTATCAATGTTGACCCCTCACTCGGGCCCGCCTTACTGGTTGCCCCCCAATAAATGTCTGGATACGACTCAAACTTTACGATAATATGGCGTCCCCCCCAATTCTTAAGAATCTTGGAACATGGGAGAATTGATATATATATTGGGTGGTTTGACTGCATACGATACTTGTGAGGCCACTACTGTACCTACTTTCTGTGGTTAGAATACGGTAATGTCGTAATGTCGTATGTTTTTGTCAAACAAGTCACCATGCTCAACCGAGATCTGACGAGACAAAAGTTAAAACATTGGTAAGGTAAATAAAATCGTTGTTCTATGTACTAGACTACGTTTGGTATGTTAGGCATTCATACTGCATGCAGGTACATATTGTGCGGCCCGAGTCATGTCTGTTTCTCTCCGCGCGTGATCAATGATCAATACTGTATTTCTGGGTCAGTTTCATAAAGTCTCACTACTGCAAAATTTCTTGAAGGGGTACATACTCATCCCAACTACGTCCCTTGACAGCAGCAAGTTCCTCCTCGGTCATTCTGTGACCAGTAGTAAAGTATCCTAGTAGCAATTGTTCAGCCCTATTACAAGTTATGGACGGTAAATGATGCGTGCAAGACTGACCTGCTGTAATCTTTGCATCAATCTCGACCCTCGAATCCGCTGGGATCCATGATTCAGGAAGCTCAACTCTCTCATGGATGGGAATTCTAGACGTTTGTTTAGTAATGGAAACCAACGTCGCGTGCTTGATTCTTACCCTTGACCGACTATGGCATCGTGTTTCATGCTGTAAATACGGTTACTCCTGCGTCTTGTGCAGTGGGTTCAAGCAACTTACTTGCTCATACTTAGCATTCTGTCAATTTTCTTTATTCCCAACCAATGAAGAATGTCGGGCATCAATGCCTGGAAACGCATATCCTTTACACCGGCAATATTTTCCGTGCGTTTGAAATATTCCGAAGCTCGATCAAGTCCACGCTTTCTAGCGTTATAAACGAGGTACTACATGACCGAGTTAGATGGCTGTCTCAAAGATCCAGAGAAGTGATAAATCATGAAGATCTGAGGGGATAAAATGCGGATGTCATCGGAAAATGATTAGGAAGTGGGGAGATGGGGTGGTGAAGTGGGTATTGGAACAAATCGATAAGCCTCGATGAGATCCACAACAGAAGGATAAATGCAGTGCAGACAACCTATCAGCCGCGGAAATAATCAAATACCTTTGTAACCTCTCCAAGAGCTCTACCTTCTTTTCTGAAGTAAATCACTCGGGAAGAAATTAGTCATGGTGTTGAAGCACTGTCAAATACATAACTCACCGACTAGAAACACAAGAGTCAGTAATTGCCTATAAACGTTTGAAAGGAAGCAAGGAACAAAAATTGAATGAAGAAGCGAACGTAGTTGGGGATCCAAATAGTTGCTCATGTATCAATGAACATAAACTACGGAATGTGCTAACAGAGTTGAATATCAGAGTTGTGAAATGGAAATTGTACTTACCCCCACTACCACCCTTTTGCGCCTCCTTAACAGCCTCCTCGATACCATAGATCAGGTAAGGACGGCATGTACAAATATCAGATCCGAACACGTCACTTCCGTTACACTATCACAAGAAATCAGCATGAAAGATCTCCTAATCGTAATACCTCAAAATTGTGGCATTTTATTTTTACCTCGTCATGAATTCGTAAAGCTAGGCGACTATTCTCATCTGACATCTTCGCGGGGTCTCCAAAGCAGTAGACGGTCAAACCACCTATAGATAATTAGATAATTCCACGATAGATCAAAATTACTATTTCATACCAATTGGTGGCATGAAGAGCTTAATATCTCCTCTGGTAATCAATTCGGGGTATGATCCACCAGTGTGCTCGAACAATGCTCTCCTCAGAACTCCTTCGGCTAGACTATGGGTAAGCAGAACGACTCCCGAAATTGTGATAGAAGTACGAACAAATGCCAAATCGCTCAGCCACTCCAGGTAGATACCAAACCTATAATATTATTAGACGTATATCTTTCAAGCGGGTGATTCACATACTGGTTCCACGGCAAATTTTGTGACTGCAAGTTCACCAGCCTCATTCAAGCAAATCTTGCCGTCCGGCTTGAGCCGACCTTCACGCACGCTAGCTTCTAATTCTGGTAGCTATAACTTTCATTAGATTCGTATTACTACCTTGCTGTTTAACGTTGAAAAGTACCTTCATATGGGCTCGGGTGATTGCTATCAATATAATTAGTTCTGCTGTCTAATACGACGTCGACCTTCCGGAAGGCTGCCAAAGTACATACCAATAGTAGGTCTAATATCAACTGAGTATTGTCAGCCCAAAGCTACTTTATACCCTCATTTAGGAGCTGCTTACCATTCTCCTTCTCAATTGTGTCCTTGAAAAGCCATGGAGCGAGATGGCCCAGAGGATCCATCGATACTATCTTTTTCTTGTCGGCCCATTGAGGGAAGGGTCCAATGTTGGCGGCAGGTTCTGTGTTTGTGAAATCCGGCCTGGAATGGGTTAATTTGTTTATATATGAAATCCAGATTGCTTGAAGCCTACTTATGGTCTGCCTTGATTTCCTTGCTAGCAACGGCCAAAGCATAGTATATCGAATAGGATCCACCGTGAGCTATGAACGTCTAACATCAGATTACATCACGAGTTAATAGCAGACAACCAAAACATACCACCAATTGCTAAGACAAACGTTTAGTATACGAACAATCTGTGAATTGGTGAACAAACTTACCGTTACGTCTTCGGGCTGTTTCTGTGGCTCTAGAAACAACTACCGGTCCTCTGATTTGCGGGTCGCTATGACCCCATTCCATAGGAAGTGGATTGATACCGGATTGTCCAGGGTATGTACTTATATCATAATTCAGTTTAAATGTTTCTATTCCTTACATGCATTCTAAGGGACTCACGTGAGAATGATTCGAGAAGTACCGGTGCTTGCTTTTTGGGTATAAGAAGGAATGGGTGCTTCATCGGGCTTCGCCGCCGAGATTGTTGGAGACTTGGGCACCTCCGCTTCGTTCTCATCCTTGGAAGCACTTTCATCATTGCTTGCAACAGGCTCAGAAGGTTTGGAAAGAGTTGCTGAATCGGTAGAAGCAACATCCCGAACTTCCTTCATTCCAGCTAAGACATTAACACGACCGGTAATAGCATCGACGTTGGATGACAGCTGGACCTGGTTGAGTTGTAGATTTTTGATGGAATTCAAGATCTCCTGCATTAAAGCGGTCTGGTCAGGAGGCGGAGAAGACATCTTTAAAGGCAGGTTTGGGATATGATGGATTTCAAAAAGAAACAGGTTTGAGAGGAAAGTAAATGATTTCAGATAATTTGGAAGAGGAGCAAAGCAGATCTTATAAATGGAAGATGAGGGGTAATTGGGAATCGGCGCGTTGGTATTGTTTGCTTGTCAGATAGCTACTAGGTAGGTAGGTAGTAGGTAGTTAGTTAGATAGCTCTCCAAAGGAAGGCACAAGAACACGTATTACGTGAGTAACAAAAGTGGTAAAGTGACTTTCCTCCTTCTCATTGATGATACGAGGAAGGAGATAGATAGACGGATTGATGGATAGATTGAGAGAAAGTGGGAACAGATTGATGGAAATTGTATGCTAGTTGGTCATATTTGGCTGGTGTCTGTGGTAATAATGATTGATTGCTTTGCTATCTGATAATTCACTTCCTTTATAAAGCTGATGTCCACTGTCCAAATTGGGCTGGCTGTATCTAAGATAGCACGATTCCTAGGTAGGTCTATCAGCCCCACTCTGGAATATAAAAAAGGAAGGGACTTGCACTATGAATTTACGGGGGAATGAGGTGCCAGTGGCTACGATTTACGATATAGTATTTACGATTTATGATCTACGGTATACGATATACGATATACGATATCCTATTTACATGTACCTATATACGTACCTAGGTATAGCCAACTACGGTTGATGTATACCACCTACCTAGTACCTACTATTAATTCCTCAATTTTGAGTCAAAATTTATAATCTTGATTAATAACTTTGTATCAAACCCAAACCCCCTTTTAAATCGAAACCCAACTTTGTTAATACAAGTAATAAACCATACCCACCCACTCACCATACCTACCAGTACCTACCTACCTACATCGTCGGCAGCTTCCTAAATTTCCTAAATTTCTTTCAAGGGAGTGATATCGCTATCGATAAGCCGGTACCCATACAAATCAAATATCAAATTACAAGAACCAACGAGCCAACCCAACAAACCCAGCAATCAGCCTGAGCCTAAAGAGATCCCCCCGAGCTCCCAAAAAAGCTTTGTGACATTGTGACGCCTCGGGACGCTTAGAAACTAGCAGCACAGGCTAGCAGTCGCGTCTTTACATCTTCCGAGCCGCGCTTGAGTCCCACTGCATTTTCTTAAACATACCTTATCATTACTCCTAGCCAAATTTAAAAGAACTTCAAAGAGCATAATGGTAAGCAAATATCAATCTTCAATCTTTCGCGTTACAAGCTTCTAATCCATGCGTTAGGGTAAACGTAAGGCAGCCAAGAAGGTCCAGGGTCCCAAAAAGGTACAGCATTTTTCACAACTTTCCCGATTCTCTTGCAGTTGCGACATATACTGACAACTTGCAAAGAAAGAAGTTCTTAGTACAACTTTCCCCTGTCTATTTTGTAATCACGAAAACTCCGTCATCGTGAAGATTGATAAGAAAGCTGGTGTTGGTCATTTGTCCTGCAAAGTATGCGACCAAAAATTCCAATGCGCCATCAACTGTAAGTTTTCTGCAACAAAGAAAGTCTGGTAAAGGATCACGCAAAAGCTAATTTTGGCCCGTATACAGATCTGTCGGCTTCCGTGGACGTATATGCCGATTGGGTTGATGCTTGCGATGCAGTCGCAAAAGAAGGAGACGATGGGGGAGACCTTGCCCCCGAACGCGCGCCTGCTCGACGTTCATCTGGCGCTGCTGGAAAGGGCGATGCGGATGACGATGACAATGATGACGACATAATGGGAGACGAGGACGGGATGGGTGGTTATGGTGGCGATGGAATAGTTGCGGACGACGAGGATTATTGAGCTTGGGATTTTTGGCTTGGGTTGTGATAATTTTACTGTTTGGAGTTTGGGAGGCTCACGGTTGGCGAAGCTCTTCACATGGTTTTGCCCTGCGATTGATAAATGGTTTAAAATCATCACCTCTTTGGTTGCAAAATATATTGGTACAAGTGACAGATTGTTTGGATACACCAACGGAAATTGTTAATTTTTTTCTTCTTTTGGTAGATAGCTAAAATACTAAGGAGACATTGAAACCCAGACCTTTTACATAGTATAAAATCTATCGCCAAAATCACCAAGACCAGGCACAATATAACTAGATGGACATTAGCAAAATTCAATACTATTCGTTGAGGATCATACTTCTTTTCGTCGAGACCCTATCATCATGTTAGCTGAGTTCTGCACATCGAGAAGAATGCAATAAGTGAGTACCCACCTGATCAATAAATGCCGTCACAACTCTAACCTTCTGGTACTTCTTAGCGAAGGACTCGATGCCTTCTGGGCTCGCTATCAAATTCAAGAACAAAATTCTTTCCGCTGGAACTCCCCGAGAAATCAAAACGTCTACTGCCATTGATGCAGATCCCCCTAAATCAAGCATCAGAATAGCACCATTCAAGTCTTTGGGGCTGTGACTTACCTGTAGCGAACATTGGATCAAGAAGCAATACCCAACGTTGTGCAATGTCTTCTGGAAGTTTGTCATAGAAGAGCTTAGGCAACGAAGTTTCCTCATCTCTTTGTATCAATATTTTACCAATTCGCACGGAACGACAGCAATCCCGTAGTCCCTGCTCCATAGCTTCACCAGCTCTCATGATAGAAACACCGCATATTTTTCCTTGAAATTGGACTCCTGCATATGTTCGACCAACTGGGGTAGTGATCGTGTGCTCTACCACTGGTAAATGATTGAGACCTTCCTCAACCAGTAAACGAATGATTCGGTTCGAGTAAAATATGAAATCTGCTCGCTGCGTGTTCTTGTCTCGGATCATGCTATATCACTCGAGGTAAGCATGTGGTATGGGTACGTGCAATACTTCATGACGTACGTGAGAAGAGCAATAAGCTGCGGGGTTTGAGGTAATGTGTGAACATTCTCGAAGGATACTGGAGTAGAAACGGTTGCAACAGGCTTCTCGGGGCGGTAATCAGGACCAACACTTTGTGCTGGTGATTTAACACCTTCTAAAGATTCAGAAGACATTTTGCTGTCAATTTTCCTGAGGGGTAAAGCTTCAATGGAGCACACAGTTGAGATTGATGATGAGGTTCTTCTCGCTATTTTACTAAGTGGTCAATTTAGTGATAAATTTATAGCTTAATAAAGGTAGTAGCTAGAGAAGCTTGCTCATTCACTCACCTCAAGGAATTCTGCTGGTTATTGCTCAAAATGCATACAACACAGAGCTGCAAGAATCTAGTTCACAACTCTGCGGAGCCCTCCGTATGATTTCTCGTGGGGCCGGTCCAAAGCGAAATGCAGTGTGCGGATGAGTAGATAAACTGATAGCCGATAAGAACAGGGACTGTCTTGGCAGGCTCTGAAGAGTAGGTGCTATTCCAATTCTATGACAAACTGTTTTCAAAGCAGATACATGGGTCAGGAACTAATGTTGCTTATTACCTGGTGAAGAGAACAGCGTTTGTTGTTGCCAGGAAGGGGAAATCAGTAGTCGACGTTAAACTTCAATCAATATAAGGTTGTCAATTTGCGGAGAACTACCTAGTACTGCTAGGTAGGTGACTGTACACAAGGTTCACAAGACTGTCAATGGCTGTAGGAAAATCGTAGATTTTAGAACAGATCTCAATACTTTCCTCAAGAGATATACCCCTCTATACTCAGGTATACTCACTCCTACTAATAAAGCATGTTTAGGATTTCAATTCGTGAAGACAGTCTCAGATGGAGAACAATGACTGTCAGTTTCCTTCCAATAACATTCACGTTCGTCTGGGTAGGGGTAGGAATAACGTTTTCCCGGTGCCATCCTTAGGTAATCTTAGTGCTCTTTCATCGAGTACTCTGGTAATCATTGCTTTGAACATTCCATGCATAATTGATCAATTCAATTCTACAAACGTTTCCGTCAACGGTTATAGCAACCACCACTTTGTCACAAAGGTACTTTCGGCAGTTGAATATCTTCAAGGTCGTACCACTCAACGTCCTATATAAATGACATTCTGTTGAATAATTGATTTGCGACAGTGGCATTTCCAACACTCGATGTGCAGATTCACCTTTGCATTTCCCGAGTTACCCATTTCTCCCGCGCAGCATGGCAGCCTATGAAAATATGGCGAGGCCTCGGAAAACAATAACTACATATGGAAAGCCAGCAAGGAAACATCTTGCAGGTCATAGCTATACAAAATTGGTCCATCGCACAACACCTTCCGATTTAACAAAGACAGGTCTCATTACAAACAATGAGCCCAGTGCATCGAATCATGAAAGACCTCGCGATGTCTACAAGCCATCATCTAGCACACCTTCTGCCCTAAAGATACCATCTACTGTCGATTTATATGATGTGCCCCTCAGCGATGAAGAGGAACCCCCTTTAATGCGCAAGAACGTTACCAAATCTGCACCGAAACTCAAAGGAAAACCTGCGATGTACGACGTACCTCTGGGCAATCAAGAGGATGAAGCTACGAGGCGGAAGAACGTTCCCAAACTAAAACAGAAAGCTTCGCAAACTTCTACCATATATGATGTGCCACTCAGCGAAGATGATGAGCCCCCCTCGGCGAGGACGAATCTCTCCAAATTACCAACAAAGGTGACGCAAAAACAATCGACCATTGGAAACACGAAAAACTTCATAAAAACAGAATCCGCGAATGTTAAGTCGGTGGAAGTGCCTGAGCGTAAGAAAAGGAAGTTATCACCATCTGAACAGCCGCGACGGGAGCCTTCCAAACCTGCAGCAACTTTGCCCAAGGTGCCACCACATCATAAGATTAGGCAAGCCAAGCCAACTACAGATACTTCACCAAAACGAAAGGTCGTTCATGCTAAGCCTGTTATGGAGTCTATCCAGACCAAACCAGCAGTGCATCGAGGTCTACAGAAACAGAGTAACAAAACGCCGGTGCAGCAACGACCAAGATCCTCTACCTCTACCGGCAGCGCTGCGAGCTTACGGCTAGCTGCAAGTCCTGGGCGTCACATCTCTCCCAAGGCTACGAAGTTATGGGATACCCTCGACAACGAAACTCAAGAAACCACGATGAGTAGTGCAGATGAGCTCTCTTTGGTCGTGAGCACGCCGAAGCGAGTATACCCAATTGTTAGAAAGTTATCTAAAACTGCGGCTTTTACAAAACCAGCTAACCTAACTCCTCGCAAACGACTGATCGATTCATTAGTCGAGCAGACACCTCGCCAAGATTTGGATGATGAAGACGATGATGATGGTGATGAATCTGGGAACGAACATGAAAATTCTCAGCTTGAGGATCACTTCCAACATCTGAACAATTCAAGGGCCCAGAGTCTTGTCCCAGAAGTCCCTACTTTTACTGCACCTGCACAAGTTAGTCAAGGTCCCCCAATCGCAGGGCCCAAGTTTACGTATAGTCGACAGCGTTCCATGCTTGTTGAAGAAGACATGATGGAGCAATTGGCTTTTGACATGCCTTTAGAAACTCCACAAAGCTCACAGCGTCGCCGAGGCTCTATACCTAGCCTCAAACCATTATCAAGCTTTCGCGAGGAAGAGCAGCAAGAAGATGAAGCCGCAAGTACTGCTATCCGCACGATCCATGAACTAAGACAAGCGGGAGCGAATAGTCGCTTTGTGGACGAAGTAGAAGATTTGCTCGATCGTATTGGGAAGCCTTCCATAAAGTTGTCATCTATGCGACGATCTGGTCTTTTAGACCTTGGTTTAAAAATGAAGGACAAAGGATTTGTTCGGCAATTCCGTGCCCATGGTGCTGAACAGCGACTATTTATCGACATAGGTCAAGAAGCTGATATCGTATCGGGATTTTTAATGACATCACTCATCACGCCTATATTGGCAGAGGGAAGTGCGCCTCTCGTAGTATCGCAACTTCAGCAACAAGGTATTGCAAAGCTACTAGATCGTCTCATATCGGTTGAGAAAAGCTTTGTCAGTGTGATAAAGGAGCGTAAGACAAACATATCCAAGATGGCACAGAAATCAATGGCAGCATATCATGATTCTCTGCTTGCAATTCCAGTGTGGAAGGATCTTAGCCCACGTGAACTTTTCCCTCGGACCTTGGCCCTAAAATGCCTTGAACTTATGGTCAGGCAATGTAGGGAAGCTGGAGATGCAAGTGACATGATTTCTGAAGAGCTAAATACCAGTTTGTTTGAGATTTTAAAATTGTCAGATTCGGATGCCGCGTGGGATTTCCCCCACGGAACAGAAGCAGTCGACTTTTATTTGACACTTTCCACTCTTGAATCCCACTCTCTTGTGTCGAGAATCGCCCAAGATGAGACAATCTGGATTCATCAATTGCTGCCTATCATAGGAAATACCCTCAATACCGCTTTGAATCGGCCACTTGAGAGCTTTGGCGAGCAACAAATTTTGGCATTGAAATTGACAGTGAATGTCACCAATCACAACCCGAAAGCTTGCGATGCAATTGTGGACTCGGATCTCATGTTTACCATTCTTCGCATCATCGTTGCCAGATTCAAAAGCATGTCAAGCTTATGGGCGGAAGAGGAAATCGTCGTGGCTGTAGATAACCTGATCCTTCTCATCGGAGCAATGATCAATTTTGCTTTGTGGAGCACAAAAGCGCTTCAAAATATCAATGATTTTGCTGGGACGGACAGAGACCCTCTGGATGAATTGATCCGCCTTTTTGTAGATAATAGAGAGAAAACCTTTGAGGTGGGTTCTTGTGTAGAGTTCTTATTCCGGCATTCTAACTTTTATAGGTGGACTCTCAGCACGAATCACACAAAAACGTTCCGTTTGGATACTTGTCGGTATTGTTGGGACATTTTTGTTTATTGCCGGCCATCGAGAAACGAATTCGGATGCGACAGACAACGAAAACACTTCGGCCCCTCATTGCATCTATCAATGAATTTATCGTCTATCATAAAGCGGCTGATGATGAGATTGCTCCCAATGAAGATGGACACAGTCCTCACGTCACTGTAACGAAGCAACTCGAGGATCTCGTCCAAAAATTATTGACGATCAAAGGGGCTTAAGACCAAATATAGGAAGGTCTTTGGAGAGACTGGTCGAGGAAGGCGTTTGATGGGGTGACGATTGTCACGAGTATAATGGGTTACAATGGATATGATACAGATTTCTTGATACATGATGATATATTTTAGGCGTTTAAATCGGAGAGAATAATTGCAATATACCCTAGGTGCAGTTTTTTCGAAATGGGTGGGATTGGAGAAAAGGGGAAGTTTCAGGAAATTATGATATGGGGGTCCTTTGATCGAAAATATTCATAGGGTATAGCTGGTTTTCACGATTAATCTCTGCCCACCCAAACAACACATTACTATTACCATATTTATTATAGATTTAAAGATATGAAAACATTTTATCACCTAGCAGTCTGCTCATCTGATTCTACGTGTTGTCGTGGCAGATTCAGAACGAGTAATCCATTTGGCTCACCTACTATGTGTTTGAACGTGTTTGACGTGTGATGAGGTCGAACTCGGGCGATGGGCTCCGGTCTGGAATGACATGACAGCAAGTAGCATTGAATGTAAAGTACGTACTGTACTGTACTGTACTTGATCATCAAATCCACACCAGGGAATGACATTTTGCCCAAACTTCCAATTCTTGGAACAAGCTTATGCTATTTAAGGAACAAGCAAGCCTCTGTTGGAATTTTGTACAAATCTGGATTCATATCGATTTAATCATTTTTATTAAACTTCCAAGTTTTACTCGCGATCGGGTGCTCCTCTCATACTCTTTCCAGTCTTTTGATCAATCTATCGACTTGGGGTGGTGTCGTCTTCCGAGCCGAGCTTAATCTGGGTCCGCTCAGCCTAAACATTAGCGCTCAGGCGCTGTAAGAACCTTGGACTTAAAAGCCATTGAAGCACTAATAAACTGGTCGGTCTACCTAGTCTCCTAGTCTCCCAGTACCTACCTTTCAACTTAATTATAACCTCCTCAGCCTTGTCCTGTTTCATCAGACAAGAACCAACAAAACAAAAACATCAAAAGCTCTTCCATATCTTGCTCTCCTTGTATTCAATTACGAGAACCCCCCTTACAATTTTATTCCAAGTTATTACATCTTCTTCATTATGCCTGCACCGCCTAAACAACGCAAGATTGCTATTGTAGGCAGTCGATCTGTCGGTATGTCATTATATTGTGTGATGTAAAATACAACACATCAAAGTAACCCTTTTCTTCTACAGGCAAATCTTCACTTACTGTACAATTCGTCGATGGCCACTTTGTAGAAAGTTATTATCCGACTATCGAAAATACTTTCAGCAAGGTCATCAAGTACAAAGGGCAAGAGTTCGCCACTGAGATTGTTGACACAGCTGGTCAGGTAAGATATCTCTCTACTTGTGTACTATTTGATTCAAAACCACATGTCATTACGTAGTTGGAAAAAGGACTAACAGACTTCACATTGTAGGATGAATACAGTATCTTAAATTCAAAGCATTTCATTGGTATTCATGGCTATGTGCTTGTCTATTCTGTTGCTTCCATGCAATCCTTTGAAATGGTAGAAGTCATCAAGGATAAGATATTGAATCACTTGGTATGATAGATATTCCAATTCTACTCTAGCCTCCCTCAAAGGTCAAGATATCTAACACTTTATAGGGTACCGAATGGGTTCCAATCACAATTGTTGGTAACAAGAGTGATCTTCGACCAGAGCAGCGCCAGGTCACTGCTGAGCAAGGCAAGGCATTGGCTGAGAAAATCAAGTGTGCTTTCACTGAAGCAAGTGCACGTTATAACGAGAATGTTACCAAGGGATTTGAACTCATGATTGAGCAAATCGAGAAAGGTGAAAATCCTAATGAGCCTTCAGGAGATTCCAAATGTATTCTCATGTGAGGAACAAAGGGATTGGAGTATACGTTGGAATATGATGTCTCATGTTTGAATGTGGTTAGCTTAGTATGGGAGTTTGGAGTTGGGAGAGGCATCTTTCTAGATATTTAGTCACAGAGGCATATGTCCTGCTATGTCTTCAGTTATCGTTGATACTACAAGGCGGTAGTTTGCGAACGGTTCAATGGTATACGTTAAACGGTATTCACTGTGTGCCCCAACACGTTAGTCTTGTATAGGTTGCATTGAAGAGATCTGTACAACACCATGATTAACCGGTACGAAACACAGATTCAACATGCAAAGAAATGTCAGGCGACAAGGCCCGCGGGAGTGGTAGGTCGTGCGAAAAGGGGAGAGAATAACAAAACCACATATCACGTGCTGAACACAATCAGCCAGAATGTTATCTTAGCGGAGTCTTGCAATCGCGACCCCACCAATTGTACTTTGAACAATTTACTAGTGACTCAAAAAGTTGACCGGCCCAAACACACAGGTTCCCTCGTCGCATACATATTTGAGTGTGCTAAACTATTTTCAAAATGCTTGACGTTAACGATTTCATTACTGAGAGGGGTGGAAACCCACAAAAGATCAAGGACTCTCAGCGCCGCAGATATGCTCCTGAAGAGGTTGTTGATGAAGTGATTGCCATGTATGAGGATCACCGCAAAAGTAAGCCAGTAAACACAGGCCCAAGTATATAAGTACTCACAAACTATCGCAGCCCAGTACGCAGCTACACAGGTCAACAGCAAGATCAACGAAACTCAAAAGGAGATCGGCGCAAAAAAGAAGGCCAAGGAGGATGCTACTGAATTATTGCAAAAGAAAGCCGATTTAACGAAGGAGAAGAAGACTTGGGATGACGCCGCAGCAGAGAAAGAAGTACTTTTGAACAAGAAGATTGGCACGATTGGCAACTTTGTTCATGAATCTGTGCCTGTGAACAACGACGAGGTATTTTTTACATGGGCAGCATACGAGGTTCTTCAGGTCCGGTGTGGCTAATGGGTACTAGGATCACAACGAAGAACTGCGTAAATGGGCCCCCGAAGGTGTCACTGTTGAGAAGAAGGACGTTCTTTCACATCATGAAGTTCTGACAAGATTGGATGGTTATGATCCAGAGCGCGGTGTCAAGGTTGTAGGACACAGAGGTTATTTCCTGAAGAAGTGGGGTGTCTTCTTGAATCAGGCTTTGATCAATTATGGCTTGGAGTTCTTGGATAGCAAGGGATATACACCATTACAAACCCCTCAATTCATGTTGAAGGAATACATGGCGAAGACCGCACAGTTGGAGCAATTCGACGAGGAACTTTACAAGGTTGTTGATGGAGATGCCCAAAACGATAAATATCTTATTGCTACCTCTGAACAGCCAATTTCAGCTTTTCATGCTGACGAGTGGTTGACTGCTAAGGATATGCCTATCAGGTACGTAAGGAAAACCTGGGGGAAAAGACATTTAACTGACTTAAGCTCAAAGATATGCTGGTTTCTCTTCATGTTATAGACGAGAGGCTGGTTCTCACGGTAGGGATGCATGGGGAATTTTCAGAGTCCATCAATTTGAGAAGGTATATATTCTTTGTAGCAGGAGTTCAGCCCGCTTTTTCTAACCATTTCAGATCGAACAATTCGTTCTCACCGACCCAGAAAAGTCATGGGAGGAGTTTGACCGTATGATCAGCTTCTCAGAGGAGTTCTACCAATCCCTCGGTGTTCCGTACAGAGTTGTCGCAATCGTCTCGGGTGCTCTCAACAACGCAGCTGCCAAGAAATATGATCTCGAGGCTTGGTTCCCCTTCCAAGGAGAGTATAAGGAGCTTGTTTCTTGCTCAAATTGCACAGATTACCAATCCAGAGCTCTTGAGATCAGATATGGACCCAAGACACAAACTGGAATTCGTAAGAACTATGTCCATGCACTTAACTCTACTTTGTGTGCAACTGAGCGTGCGTTGTGCTGTCTTTTGGAGAATTTCCAAACTGAAGAAGTAAGTAGAAAGAAACTTTCCGGGGGATTTTATTTACTGACTTTATTCAGGGATTCAACGTTCCAGAGCCACTCCGCAAATATCTCCCTGGCGCTCCTGAATTCATTCCTTTCTCCAAGGAATTGCCCAAAGATACTACATCCCAAAAAGCAAAGGGTAAGGTCGAGAAAGCACCAAAACCAAAGGTCGCACCCGTTGGTGCTACTCCAGCTGAGGCGGCGGAGAAATTGAAGGATATGTCAGTCTAAACAGTTTCTGGCATTGAACGAGTGGATGAAATAAAGACATTAGATGCCAGCGCTGAGGATTAATGAAAAGCCGAACAGGCAATTCCAATAAACATAAAAGTTATACAATCTGAGAGCGTTGACTAGAAGATGCATCTTATGAATGGGGAGTAGGCGATAGATATTAAATATAAAATCGGAGATTTACTTGCTTCCAATTTGGCTATGAACTGTTGTGCGGTGCGGTGTGATGACGTCTATAAGAATAATCCCGACGAAAGAAAGACTACAAGAACTGAAATCATGAGACTAAGGAGAGACGCACATGTAAAATCAGTTACAGCTTCTGAAGAAGGACGAGCTCTCAAATATATTCACCATCTGACTGTTGCTGGTCGCTAGTCTTTCAAAATATTCTCAGAATGTAGACTTTTCTTGCACTCGAGGCACTACTTGAGAATTTCCCACCAAGTCCTGGGGCGTCCTGCAGATTCTCACGCCCATTAATAGAATGCGCTGAGATTTTGGGGATTGGAGCTGTCTACCGCTATAGATCGAGCTCTGCACAACGGATTGAGGAGGACAAAAAAAGTAAAGGTTTGCAGGTCAAGTACGAACTTGAGGATGGCGTTCTATGAGGTGGTCTTATGTCGCTGCCGCTTTTTTTCATGGTTCTATTGCTTTGATAGTCGATTGTAGCGTCTCTTACGTTATGGAAGTGAAATCAGGTGAAGATACATTTTTGTGAGATGTTCTGGGATAGTGGATGGAGGAACAACGAGCGCGAGATCTATACCATCCATAGTAACAGTGCGCGTGTCTGTCTTGAAGTGTAACATATACTTAGACACATGGTTAGAAAGTCCAGATAATGCAATAGATGTGCAACATCAAAGACAAGACACCGAAAACGAAGAATCAATATCTGCTACTAGAAGATCCATTCCTAAGAACGTAGCATCCAATATACCTAGGTACCCACTACTCTAGTATCCAAGCACCTACATGCCAGGTAAACATATCCCAAATGAATGCACTATAGAAAGATATATATATCCAAAAACCGCTACTAAGTTTCGGTCATCAAACACCACATCGCGTCGCCCTGGCGCAGTTGGTCGACCACTGCGCTTTAACCACCCGAAAGCGTGGATGCTGGTGTTTGAGCAGCGACTGTACTATCCCCATATCGAAGGGCATAACCGCGAAATAAAAATCCCTCCTCAGAGAGGGGTTTTTTCCCCTAGACCGGTTTTTTGCTATTTTGTTGGTTGGTGATTTTTTTGGCTTTGGAATGGGTGGGTGAGTGAGTGGGTGGGTGGTTTGTGGGAGTGAATGTACTTTTGGGGAAATGTCGTCTGATGTTGACGAGGGGAGTTGTGGGAGTGAGTGTAGATGAGGTCGATTGAAGTCGGGAAAGCCTGATGAAGCACGGACGGAGAGAGCAATCTATGAGAGTCGATAGAGGAAGGGCTAGATTAGAGTAATGGAAGTATAAAGTGAAGTCTGTGGCGTATAGCTGGTGTATCTGGATTTATTGCTTGTTTCGTTAATATAATACAGAGAGGTGATTCTAAGTTCTCTTTTTTTTCATGAAAAGAGAGTCTCGTCCTTACACTTGAATAACTTTTGCACCCTTCCCCTTTTCGTACAAAGATTTGCGCTCGCTCACTTCAAGTCCATCTAGAACCCCACCACCTCTCTAACTTCAACCATAGTCCTCTCCGCATTCTCCCTCGCCTTGATACCTCCCTTCCTCGCTACTTCCTCCACATAACCTTCATCCCCCAACAGTCTCTCATAATTCTTTCTAATTGGCTCCAATCCCGTGTTCACCGCATTAGCAGTCTCCCGCTTCAAGTCTCCCAAAGTAAACTTCTTTGCCTCGCATTCCTCGGCTATTTGCGCGGGTGTTCGTTTTGGGTTTTGGGTATCAAATGATGACCATAGTGTGAGAAGATTAGAAACACCAGGACGCTCAGAGGGTGAATAAGAAACCGCGTTTTGAGAGTCAGTCAGGGCAGACGAGATCTTTTTGGTGATGGTGTTGGGTGGGTCGGTAAGGCGGATACGGGAGATGGGAGAGGGATGTGATTTGGACATCTTTTGGGTGGGGGTTTGGAGGGACATAATGCGTTTTGCTGGGGCTGGAGGCGTGTTAGTTCTAGAAGGAAGCTGATTTGAAGCTAGTTTCTGAAGATCGAGATTATACGAAGAATGATGGTATGAGAAATAGGTATAGACACTTACAAAGGAGCGTCTGAGGCGCAATGAGATGGGGCCCATATGCATGGTTGAAATTTGTAGCGCATTCACGAGCAAATTCCAGATGTTGGGATTGATCTTCGCCAACGGGAACGTGGGTTGCTCTTTCGTTGTACATTGTCAGCTCCGTTTGCAGGTCAAAAGAGACGTACGTAGAAGAAATATGATCAAGTGAGTAGATATCTACTATACATACCTATGAACCAAAATATCCGCAGCTTGCAGAACTGGATACGAAAACAAGCCCAACTTGAGCTTAGATTTATTGCCGCCATCTAATGGTGAAGCATCATCTTCGAGAGACAATTTACTCTGATGTATGTCAGTGGAATTGCCAAGTGAAGTATGTAAAAACGACGGCAGAGTAATAGGGACAAACCTTCCATTGTGTCATACGAGACAGATATCCCATCGAAGCCGTGCAGCTCAATATCCACATCAACTCCGTATGTGCTGCAACCTTCACACAAAATCAGTTTCGTTCACTACCAATCAAACCAAATCCGCGGTTACACCCTGACCTCTCACCACGTTGTCACTCCCACAATACCGAATAAAAACAGCACAGCACCTACAGAGCTTTGATAAAACACCGTACTCCTCTCCGGATCCAATCCAATTGCCAAGAGCGTCGCCAAACTCTCCTTCTTCCACTGCTTCAGCTCTTCACTTTTCTGCGGTATCGTAATCGCGTGATAATCCACAATCGAGTAAAATAACTTCGTACTCGATTCCGCTGTATCTTGTAACCGCACCCAGTTTTGCAATGCCCCAAGGTAATTTCCGAGATGCGGTATTCCAGTAGGCTGGATACCAGAAAATATTATTTTGGGCAGGGAGGGTTGGGTGATTAGGTGTCGTTTGGATACATGATTCAGAGGGGTAGTGACTTGCAGGATTCGTGACTTCACGTCCTGAAGTATCCGCCGGGGTGGGCAGCTTTTAAGCATGGTGGCTTGGGGGTTTTTTGGGAGGCGATTAGAAATGGAGGGGTAGCTGCACGCGAGATGCGAGTGGGATGATCTGCCTTGAAATTTGATTTTCATAGGCACGTGACTATTCTCGATTTCAATGTGCAACTTTGGAACGAAGAAACTTTCATATCAGGGTGAATTTTGCAGCAGAATGACATTTCCCCGGTAAAAGTCCATTGATGCTAGTGTCTTGATTCGTTTACTTTTACATATACATATCATACGTCAAGACTTGTCCCAAACTCCACAGTCCATGTGTGGCCATGTGTGTTCCCTCTTGATGTCTATTTTTCATTCGTCAAACCCTTGTTGGATGTTTCCATAAATTTCAAGCAAGTCTACTTCATGGCTCGACCCTCATGCCCGGGGCGCTACCTCCCGCAGCCGCTTTGAAGCTCTCTCTATTCAAAATCTCCATGACCTTATCCGCAGTCTCAGTACTCTGTCCTCTACCAAACAACTCCCACTGTGGCTCCATAACTTCCTTCATCTCCTCCATACTAGCATCCATAGCTTTGCCCACACCTATTCATGCACATATTAGTGATATTCCCACCCATAGCAAAGAAGAAGCTCACCAATCTTATTATACTCCCAAACATTCGCCTTCATTCCTATCCCATAGTACGCATGTTTCCTCAAAAAGGCCAACCATAAGCTCACGGTCTCTGGGTGTCCATCCTTGATCTGAATCAACCTCCTCAACGTTTTTCTCTCAAAATTCTCCTGACTCTTCTTATGAACGAAATGCGATCTCGGTACAGTCCATCTCTCTATCATTCTCGGCAGTGGTACAGGTCCATATGCAGGTAATTTGAGATAATATGCAGCGCGGAGAGCGAAATCGGAAAAGAACTCTAGGTTACGAATACTGTAAGATCGCAGTTGGAGATCGCATGAGGGGACTCCATATTTGGCTTCGCGGCGGAGGGGCTTAAGGTAGATTGCTTGAACGTTACGGGGGTAACGGACATTGAAGATATCTTCGTCGGATGGTTCCTCGGCGGCAGGCTCTGCTGTGGGTGGAGTTCTGTCGACTGGTTAGATAGTGCCAATCTATGAGATTATCGAGGTAAATACATCGAGGCTGTCCCTGCAGAAGCAGGTTCTGGTGCATCACTGAGAGATCGTTAGTCACCAAGCTCCAATAATTGAATTGAAAGTGCGTACGGTTTATTCGATGCATATCTAACAGACTGTGATGTGAATGGTGCAACCGCACATTGTGGTGTTTTGAAGGCATTCGAGAAGACTGGTTTTGCCTGCGAGTATTGTCAATTGTGTTCCTTCCTTGCACAGTAAAGCGTTTTATTGACATACCGATACTCCCGGCCTACTGGTTGCGCGCCATGGTATGCGCGTGAAAATTGGAGTAGCCATGCCTGGCTCAAAGTTATGAGAAATGTTAAATTGTACTTTTTGGGTAGAGTTCTATGATATCAAATAATTTGAGGTTCGGATATTTAAAGCCGATGTTTATCCGAAAGGCACTTTCAAGTTCAACCATCTTCATGTTCATTCGTTATTTTCAGGCATTGTTCTCTCCTGGAGAATGAGATACGATAGGCCTTGCACTTGTATGCAACTCTAAATACTACCAATAGTGTTTGATCTAAGGAAAGTTATAGGCATTTTCTAGTCAAGCTTGCCAACGCCCAAAATTACTCCTGTCAATTGAGATCACCGGGAGCAAATTCAAAGCTCACCGGGGGCCAGCATCATAAAATCACAGCGTTTACCGGTGGTATCACCGCTCGACTCATTTGACCTTGAAAGTTCGGATGAATGAGGGACAACAGGGTATCAGTAGCTCTGTGGGTAATAGACGCTTCGTACGAATAAGCTGTCCGGGTAATTTTGATCCTCAGGTTACGTTGATTTCGAGATTCTGCGTCACACCTTGATTGAGATGAACGCCTGAGCTAAGTAGCACGCGGGCATCTCTTAATACATCCCCAGTTTGATTATATGTTCTAAGTGAGATTTATAGATGAGATTGGATGATGAGAATATGGCGTCCAAGTAGTTGGGCAAGTAAAGTGTCAGTCTGCTTAGGAAGAAACTGCTCAGACATAATGCTGGTGGTGATACCTCACTTCTAGCCCACAAGGTGGTTGACACGCTTCTTCATAAATCTCTAAAGAATATAGTCAACATTGCACCGGCTGGTGTAGAGCATCAAGAAAAGACTTGACAGAGATTTCTCGACTATAGAATATCTCACAACACTTTCTTTAGTTATCTTTCATTTACTACTAACATGCCTCTTTTTTCCTTCAAGAAACCTTTGTCAATATCTGATTCATTGAACTGTAGTCTTTCACAAGTCTTTGTTTGAAATCGTAATGATGTTGGCATCGATAAACACGTCTCATTTCAAGATATCCGATGTAGGTGGATGATGTACGTCCGAGGGGAGCCAATTTTAAAAGTCTATCGAGAGTGACTGCGCACACCATTAATGTTCCTAGGCCTGGGCTATCTTCTTTGAGCTACCCCTTGAACCTTCATCGGCTTTACTATAAATAAGAAGAGCCCGGTATCAGATTCCCTGCCGTCTCTAATTCTCGCGTGTATGTCTTCCTGGTTCGACAAAAACATATGAGTCGAGCTCTCTTCACATACAGAGCTTGTTAGGCCTCACCACGGCGTCTAGCCAGAGCCAGGAATGTGCTGGTTGTTAGAAAGAATGTGAGTAACGTATGAACTTGATTGCGTACACTTTCACCGCCAGATGTATGCCAAAATGGCCAAAGGTTAGTGATCTTTGCATTTTAGATGTACCTGCGTAATTTTGCGAGGTGAATAGACTATTTTTGCGCTTTATGTGAGTGCACCGATCTTCCTTCCTTCTTATCGTCGCGATCCGTTCTAGAAAGGGAGCAGTTGAAGAGACTACAGTCTACTTCGAGACACCAACCTTCTCAATGATGGCTCAAGACTCCATAAAATATGCCCCAGCAAAATCCTCTTTCAAGGTTCTCATTTATTGCTCTTCTCTATTCCAACCATTCAACACCGTTCCCAAAAGGTATAGCACCCTCTCTGTATTCCATCTTCCCCAGTAAAAGATCCAAAGCCGATTGCTCCATTACGGAGCAGCATCAAAAGGAAATACATTAGCATTACTGCAATCTAAACTGCTAAGAAAATGATACCATTCTCTACAGAATCGTCAAAACATAAACTGAGTACTCGACAAGAAATCTACCAACAAAATCCACAAGTCTTTCCTCCACTCCTAACATGCACAACCCATGAATGCCAGCGAGAAACCTAATACTCCCTCACAAAACGAAGAAGGCTCAATGTCACAAAAGGGGAATTCTTAACCACAGGAAAATAAATCAGCAGTAGTTATCCGAGTCCCTCAAAACCCTCCTCTACATACCAGCAAGCCAAGCGAGTGAACAACAACAGCGTCACAAAGTCCAACAGGAGTGAGAATAACAGTATTATCATCAGCAAAAAAATCGGCGATGGGAGTGTAGTGAAAGAATGATCGTGATAAAACGAATTGGACACAATATGATACTTAATTTTGAAAGGTGTAATAAGACGTGGGTTCAGTTTCGGGGAAGCCAACGACGGTCTATTTGATGAGACACAATAGACTTGAGCTTGGAAAAATCCACGGGCAGCCCCTGAAATAAACAAGGTGCAGTGGATATGTTGTAGTACTTTCGACACAGTACCGCGGGGTCCTATTGTAAGGTTTAAGTCGAGAAGTTGTTGTCTCGCAGCGCATCCCGCCAAGGAAGAGAGATTCGCGTTTCAACACCACGCTCCATCTGGAAGTTTGAGATCTATTCTTTACTAAATTATAGTTTGTGGGAGGGTGGCACAATTTTAAGAACACTGGGTCACTACACTTAGTCACAGATTCATCAAGCCATGGGATTTTGTAACGATAGAGAGTTGTTATTGAGCTTTATTTATTCATTTCTTTGTTGTGTGCTCAAGTGTATCTAAAGAATACATGAAGGCATCATGTTCTTTTGCTGCATCTTTATTCTGAAAGTGTAAAGATGGCTAGATGGATGACCAAATCTATCGAAAAATTAAATGAGAGCGGACTTAGCTTTTGAAGTGCCATGAGCATTCTCGACTCCTCTGCCCATGAAAGAGGAGAAGAACCCATGAGGTATACTATTTGTTGAAGGATCAACCACATTGAGTGTTGACCCGCATATACTGCGTGTGAAGCTGTGCGGCGGTAGATCAAAGTGTGATTGTAACCACCTCACTTAGTACAGTACCTACTGAGAATATCTGATGAAATTGTTAGTAACAATTCTTGAAACCAGATTGAACAACAAAGGATATGGAGAGTAATATGTTCAGAGTCTAATTATAAAATCCACATGTATTCTTTAAGACAGGGATAACTGTTGACTGTGTTTTTCATCACAACATATTGGGGGGAGGGGGGGATCATGAGAGAAGAGTTTGAACATACCGATAAAATGATAGCAAAAAGAACTTGCAAGAGACAGTCGTCTGTAGCAACGTGACCAAGACTCTGGTATTCATCAAGATAGCTTGGTATATGTTTGTGATCAAAGTTGGACATTCTTGAATGTGTAGCGCATACACGGTTCAACATGGAGATCATGTCAGAGGCGTGCCTGTAGTTTGTAATCAAGTCTGGAAGGTTGACTTGTCGTGATGTTTTCCGACCTCTCAATGCGCTCATCTTCTCTTTCTTAATGCCTTCATCTTCTTGTAGTGCTCTTTCTTTCCACTAGCCTTTGCAGCTTGGATATCATTGTACTTATTGCGGAACTTGTGGTTTGCCTTCTCGCCTGCAAGAACTTGTTCGACAAAGGTCTGTTTGCGTTCCTTGTTGGTGAGGCGGGACGAAAAGAACTCGGTAGGACCTTCGATGACTGTGCCTACTTGAGAATACTCTGGAACTTCCGCTCTCGCCGAATCCTTCTTGTAAAAACGTTTGGGGTCCAATACGCTTCTGAGACGGAGGAGTTGAAGGTCGCGCTTGAGCTCAGGAGTGACCACAGTCTTAGGCATGTTGTACCACTTGGCTCCAGCAGTAGCTTGTTTTGCCTATTGACAATGATATTAGCTTGATGTTCATAACAAAAACATGTTTCCAAAGACTAGTATAGTGGCTTCTTCTCAGAGTAACTATGAATGTAAGGTCTTCAGCTTGTGCAGGTTGACGCCCAAGACGGGGCCAGGTCCTGCGTCCGTTTATATGGGATAAATTTTCCTCACAGAAGGGCACATCGCGAGATGAAGAAGATTGATTTCTTACCTTTGCAGCTTTCGCTTTTGTCACAATTGGATCTTCTACCGTTCGCACACCATTGGCCATTTTTCTGTCCTTGGCGGGTACGAGTTGAGAAGCATCCACGTGTCCTGTCGATGTGATGTATGGAGTGATTGCAGACGTTGAGGTTTTACCAAGGCTGTGAAGGAGAATGTATGTTAGCCAAGCTCAAAATTGAACAAGTCGCAACGTGGGTAAAACTTACTTTGGAAGAGAAAATTTGGTAGAGCTATCATCGCTCACGATGACTTGCTTTGCATTTCTCAACCGCTCCTCAGCATCCTTCAACAATTGCTCAATTTGAACATCAGAAAGATCATTGTCGGCCATCTTTATTGATGATGATGATGGTGGTGATATTAAATGGAACGAGGTTGAGAAAGATTGCATGAGCTTTAAGAGAAATTAAATATTCCTGGTGGATCAAGGTCGCCTAAAATTTATTTCTGCAAACTAAGCTAATCCTAGCTTAGTTATCACGGAGCTTACCAGATCAAAATATCCGTGCTCGTGACTTTGAGTCTTTCAGATGAAGTCGCACAAGCAGAAATCAATACACACGAAGAAATCCTACTGGGAAGCGTCTATAAACTCTTGGAGTTCTAGAACTAGAAGTAGAACTCTCCATTCTTCTTTTTCTGCCGGTAAAATATGGAAATCGAATCCTACGTTACTTTATCCATCAGTCGTGCCAATCTCCACGTACCTTTTGCCTTACACTCTTGCCTCACTGTTCGCCCTGTTCATAAAGTGAGCCAACGCACAAAAGAAAGAAAGAGCTGTCAAAAAACCCTGTAAAGATGACATAGTTCTTGTATCATTGAAGTAGCATAGTAATATATATCATAAGAGATGTCTAATAAATTCAATTGAACATTTTATTATTCAATAAATGAAGTTTCCATTGAACATATAAAATTCTTGAGAGCAAGCCGAAGAACAACCCCCAACCGCCAAGCTAGCACTGAAATTTCCCCTCAGCATGTTCACTGGTGAATGATTCATCCAATCCCCGCGTCGCCGCTTATTTATCCGTCCACCATCTAAACAATTGGTGCGCCCATCAATCAAGCTCCCACAACCTTATTAACTTCCGACCAATCAAACCCCCAAATTCCATAAACAAGCTACTCCATCCATCGCGGTCGTCGCGCAAGCCAAAGCTCCTCAATCAAAGAGGCATTCAATGTCACTTTGAACCTCTCCAAAATCATTCAGGTCAGCCTATCTGCAGCTAGCCTGCTGTCGCTCACCGTCACCTAACACCCGAGTAACGAATCTTGAGTCTCGGTCTCGAAGACGAAGACAAGTCGACCGTACCCACAATATTTGGCTCACCTTTCTATCTCTTCATACACTTCGCGCCATTTAATCTCGGCCGTAGTAAGACAACTAGAGGAATCATTTAAAGACTTCAGAAGCGCGACCTTTCGAGATCTTTACCTACGTACAACCTCAATACGAACCGGGAGAAGCAAGCATAAAAACAAATATGGATCCTCCACCACCCGGCTCGTCCCATGGACAACAGCAGCAGCCATCCGCTTCACAACAACGACCGGCGCAGACGCAACAGCCTGTTTATGATACAAGTCAAGGAGGTCATTATGGTATGTTTAATCTTTCCACTCATTCGTCTCTCAATTTCTCGATTACTCTATCTACATCAAGCAAATACTAATTGATTTCGCGCAATAGGTGCCAGTGCCTTGGTATGAATAACTTGGATATATGCGCTTCGAATTCCACTAATGATATAGTAGCTATCTCAACAAGGTTTTGCGCCCGTTCCAGAATTCTACACAGGAGCGTGGGCAAATGTAAGTTTTGATCTAGATACTTGGAAGACGAGAGCTGATTTGATTGCTAGGTAAACCAAGGTCTGCATGGACAATATAAGGACATTCTCACGACCTATTGGCAACAAATCATCAATCATCTTGAGGGTGACACTCATGACTACAAGCTTCATCAACTCCCCCTCGCACGTATCAAGAAAGTCATGAAGGCCGATCCCGAAGTAAAGATGATTTCCGCCGAAGCTCCAATCCTATTCGCCAAGGGGTGCGATATCTTTATCACGGAACTTACTATGAGAGCATGGATCCACGCCGAAGAAAATAAGCGTCGCACCTTGCAACGATCGGATATTGCTTCTGCATTGGCCAAGTCGGACATGTTTGATTTCCTGATTGATATTGTTCCACGTGAAGAAGCCGCAGCTCACGCAAAAAGACCTTCTGGTTCAGGACAAGCTGCACCACAAATTCCCGGTGCTGCTCCCGGTTCAGCACAGCTTCCTCCCCAACAATCCAATATTCCACAACAGCCTGGTCACGCCCCTCACCCACAATCCATGCCTCAAGATTATTCTCTCGGTGGTCATGGCATTGCTCCAGAACAAGACCCATATCGTCACCAACCAAACATGTATCAACCACAAGTTCCGCCCGGTCAACCTGGCCAGTATGGCGCACAACAGCCAATGTATGGCGAGATGAATGAGATATATGGATATCCAGCCATGCCTCCACCTCAACAAGTTCGTCCCCCATCACCCCTCTAATGCAATTTACCCCTCCCTAACCCTCATCTAACAAAGCCTTAGCAAATGTACCAAGTCCCACATCAACCCCGTCAAGATCCAGTTAATACCGACGCTACGCATCATTACCCACGCCAGGAAGGTGGTGACGGCGATGCTGATGCTGAAGGCGAGCGAGATTATGAGGTAGGATAAGATGATGGAGGTCCATACTTTAGTCGTTGTTGATTGGCGGTCAAATGTGATGGGACGGCGTTCGGAGGAGATATGATATGATCTTTCAGGCAGTCTAGCTTTGTAGTTTTTTGCAGTAAGAACAGGCGCAGGATATGTGAATGCGAATTCGATACAATTTCCCCTAAATACCTACGATGATGATGAATTCGGCATTGATGTATGATATTCGGATGAATACCTTAGGGCACGTGCATTGGATCATAAAAATTGTCCTTGTTGACCACGGAGAGAAGGGGTGATCGAAGTGTCTAAATATCTACGACTTGTTCATGCCAAACCTTGATGAAAATCCAGCAAGGCGATCTGGCTTCGCCGGACTCGTAATAGTGTGGGTAAGTCTGTAAATAAAAAGTTAGAATATATCCAGAAGCACAATATTTCTGAAAGCATCATATCACAAGCAAGCGGACGTACTTTTCCAAAATCTTAGGTCCGTTCAAAGCATCCACTCTTCCGAACTTCTTATTCCTGGTACTGATATCGAAAAACTCATCCGGATTGTCTGTCTGCATCAAATAAACTGTTTGTTGTAATTCATCCAGATTCTCTTTGAGAATAAGAGCGTTGTCAAGGGAATCGACGAATTCGGAGAGGTAGGCTACATCTTTTGCGAGGGCGGCGACGCCGTGAGGATTGATTTTTTTGACTTCGGGGGAAAGGGGAATAGCCTGGTGAGTGATTAGTTGTTGTGAATCAGGAGATGGTCAAGGTCAAGCTTACCAGGATCATATTTGCGGCGTGCGAGAGAGCATCGAAGTAAATGAGTTCCTTGATCTCGCGGGGGAGGGTAAGGAGAGTGGAGCTCATAATGTTGGAAAGATAGGTTGTAAGAGTTTGCATGTAGTTACTGGGCTCGGATACTAGAGAAGGTGCCATCCTAGAGTGGGTGAATCGTTAGTCAAATCTGGGAGAGATGATAATGAACCGAGAATTCTTACCAATCATAATCTGCCGTCTCGACCAGATCGTCTATCTTGGAGTTGACTACTTCGAAAATACGCTTTTCCGCGTCCTTCTTACTGCTCGAGAACTTCTCTGTAGCAGCAAGAACAATTGGCCCACCAGCTGATGTGGATGATCGTGCGGCCAAGAGAAGTTGTTCTAATTCTCGACTCGCTGATTCGAAATACTCCAGATTTATGAGAATCTGGACAATCTGGCCCAGGTATTGGGTACTCAGCTTCTCCACGAGCGGGTCACAGATATCCTCAGACAGAAGCTCATCTATCGACTGGAAGAGGACGAAATTAGTATGTATGAGAGCAGCAAAGCAGAGCCAGTCATGCATACCTTCTTAAGTGTCTCATCAATAATATTTGGCTGTTGAAAGTGATCATCCATTATGAAGTAAAATCGGTTCAAGAAATTCCTGATATCTATACAACACATCGGGTACATCTGGGAGAATGGTAATACACCAGGGAATCTAGCAATCGTCAGAATGATAAAAGCAGATGACAATCCTTTTGACTTACGTGTACTCTTCTTTTGGTTTGTCTGGAACATACCAACTGACTTGAATGATTTTGTCAAAGTCTTCTTCGCTATTGACAGGCATAGGCATGTATTCATCCGTAGACACAATCTGGTAAAAGTCAGCCCCGTATCCACTAGAATTTCGGAAAAGCTACTGGCCTGTTGAAAGTCTGTACTGAATTTTCGTTTTAACAAATCAGCATATCTGTAGAAAAGCTTAAGCACATAAGCATCCAATATGGCCACTGAATATCCCCAGCCCTAAGACCTAAAGTTAGTATTCTTGACAATTTACATCGTGTTTTGCAAGCTTACCTCCATTGTCTGGATGAACAATGCTATCACATTTTTGGTTTGCAGGATAACATCCGGGTTATCGAATTCATCCAAAGCTTTGGATACTGCGTTGATGGCGGCATGACACATCGAATCCCACAACTCATCAACCTAGAGAATATTAGCCAATCTACACTTTTGCCACCAACAAATTTCGGCCTACATCAACTGGGGAACGCAAATTATGGACTTTCCGCATAGTAGCCTTTTCTATTATAGCGAAGCCAGCAATGCCTTCCAGCAAGGCACTTAAGAAATGTTCGCTCTCTTCATCGGTTAAGTTAACGGAGCTGGGCAGCAATAAATCTTTCTGCTGCCTTCTTGTGGCAGCATATTCGCTTTTGAATTTCTCAATCTGACCGAGTGCCTCATGAATATGTAAACACTCAAATAAGGGGTCGAAATCAACTTGGAGCTCCTCATTATTCAACACGTCAAATTCTTCACTTTCATCATAGACCAGCTCGATGGCTGAATTTAGTTTGAAGTTTCGAAGATACGGATTTGCCTCCATGCGCTCCTTCTGCCTGCTCCGTCGAATATTTGTATGATAGAATGCCACTTCCCCTAGGAACTGAGACGTCTCACGAATGCGATAAAGCCAGGTATTCAAATCACTCATTACTGCTTCTGAGATAGCCTTCTGAGAGGAGGGAATCGACTTTTGAATTATTTCTGCGAGGGTATGTTGGGTAGCGTATTTGTTCTGAATTGTTGGAATTAAATGCTCGTTCTGTAAATCGTCCAGCGCTTTCAGAGCTGCATAGTATTTCTTCTTCCGTATCAAATCATGTGCTTGATTGACGGCATGTAAAACTTTCAAGGATTCCTTTAACGCCTCAGAAGCCTCCGCAATATTCTGACGAACAGATCTTGTGTCCACCAATGCCTCCTTTTGCGCAGCTAGTTTTTCTGTGCTCGCCTGAATGGATTGATTGAGCTTTAGGATTTCGGATGTAAGTTGGGAGGTTCCTTCTCGAACTTGTTGGAGCTGATTGACGGATGCTAGGAATTCTTCATGTTTGGTCAAACCAATCCGTTCGATGTCAGCCTCGCGGTCGTCCGCATATTGTGATAGACTTCGTATGAGTCCAGAAGTTCTATTGGATAGGGTAGCGTCCTTTAGGGCGGGTATTAGTTGATCCAAATAATCGGCATCAGAGGAAGACAGTATAATCTGTTTCCGTGGGTCAGCTATAGGAGTAGTATAGACATTGTGACAAGGCCTACCTGTTGAACAGCTTGCCTGTAATCATCATATTGCACAGTTTTTCGAGGCGGCATACTGAAGAACTCGGGTTTCAAGCTTATATCGACAATCTAGACCATGAAAGGCTCCAGTTTGGACCATAAAATATCAATGAAGAACTACCTGTAATACAATATTCTCCTCCCTTGTGGTTTCCTGCTGATGTTCGAGGGCCAGGCTGAAGGCGGATCGGATTAACCTTGGGCCTAGGTCAAGCTCGGACTCACAACCTCCTACGATGTGGCTAGGTAAGCTTAAGATACAACCTCTTTTGATAGAATGAAATGGCAAACCTAGGCCTGCTCTTAATAACAACTGTCTGAGTCTTTGTGGTGTTGAAAATGATCTCTTGTGCCCCTCAATAAACCCTCATAAAGTGTATGTATGGTATGATGATAAATCCAAGAGACTCTTCAAGGACATCAAAGATGCAGATATATTATTAGGCAGAGAACTGGGAGTTCGAGACAGCTGTTAAAGAGAGACAAGGAATTGAAAGACTCTACTCAAGTTGCGATGATGTACGTGTGCACACCAGGTATACATCAGAGTCTGAGTCTTTCTGATGATTACTCAATCCATTACCGAAGATGTGCCGGCTTCAACTATTTTCATATCATCAGAGCCGACGGATAGGATTATGTTGCTCTTCTTTTATTTCTTTTCACGCCTTTAATATATATCTATGAGTACAGAAATAATGGTTAGAGCTTTTCAGTCATCACTTCCTTAGGCTATGTCTTAGATCTATTAAGAGTGATGGTCTTGGATGAGGCACCAAACTGTCTCGAGATTCGCTACTGCTCAGCGACTCCGGACCTTCTTGACGAAGAGGAAAGAACGAAGGAGGGATTCTCATGAGAGACGATCGTCGATGAAGCAAGAGACTTGACCGCCAGGACACTCTTTTGTTTTACTCCTATGATCCTGCTGGATCTAGCTATAAAGATTATCCCAGTTCTACATTCGGTTAGGCTCAAATCAATGAGATACCTTATAGCTAAAATAAAGTAAATCGGTATCTCAACTCAAAGCCAGATATTCAAGCCGACCAGCTGTAGTGAATGGAAGGAGTGTTGCTGGATGTGAATCAAGATCCAGAAAGAATTCGAGGCCAATTGAGGGTTGAGATTAAGCCACTCAACAACTTGACTGTTGAGCAGCCAACAAGGTTACCCAACTGAAAGTCCGAATAACCTCTCGTACTTGTTAGTGTTTTCTCCGATCCATCGGTAATGAAGAGAGATTGGTCATTCACACGATATAAATCTGAAGAGAAAATTCTGACTGGCCTCCCGAGATACCTTCCCGTCTTTATTCCCGGCATCCGGCATACAAGGACCACAGGTACTCGGGCATCATGTGACCTATGTAGTATGTGCCGGCCACACCCAGTTTTCAAGAGAATCTCAATTTGAAGAACGGGATGCCTCCTCGCTTTTGATCCTCGTGGCAATAACTACAGTGCTTCCGAAGCATTGCTTCGGGCCATGACGGGATCGGACGCGGGATGCAATACTTCAAGGGGATTCCAATTGTCTACCTGGTAATTCTTGTAAATATCTACATAGTACTAGGCAGTTGCCTTGCCGTCTCCTTTCCATCGTGGCCTTGATTGCTGCCTCGGCGGAGTTACGGCCAATTAAGGAGGGGCACGGGGAAAGTGAGGAATTCAACTCTTGTTATTTCAAGAATCGCTCATACTTCACATAAATAAAAGACAGCGAGGTCATGATGGCAGGAATAAGACACATGGAGATTACAACGACTCCCAGTAGACAGTCAATTCCGGATTTTGGATGTTCTCATTGGTATATATGCTTAGAAGAAATAACAAACATGTTTGACTCTCATGATGTACCTACCTAGTAAATTTCATGCTCATGGTGTTTCTCGGCTTCTCTCCCGGAATCGGTTCATGGTTCTTTCCCGTCCTGCTCATGCTCATGCTTTCCTAACTTTCTCAAGGTGAATACTCAAAAACTGCCCGTCACATCCCTCTCGAGGCAATCCACTTTTTATCAACATCCTCCTTCTTCTCAGAGATTCTTTCTTATATCAGATCAACCTTGATGGAATTCACTGAATTTTCTTTGCCGTTCTCCCGACTCTTCCCGCTTGCAGTCTTCAATGCACTGTTGTTGATAATCTGATCTTCTTCCATCTCCTCTACGTTTGTTCTTTGACACGTACACGAAATCCTTGGTTTGTTCGTCCAATCTACAATCCTTCAACCTTCAAGCATCTCAACGATTGTTATCAATTGGTGATTGACGTATCATCATTTGAGCAATACTCTCTGACCTACACTCATTTTGAACTCATAGACTGCCTTTTCCAATAACTTACACAATTTTCACGTCCCTGGGGCATCCATTTTTGACACCTCTTCTTCTTGCCTCTGGAATCAATAACTTTTTCCCTAAGCATGTCATCATTCAATCGTTCGTATGGTCAATCGCCACCTTCCCCGGTGTCCAATGGCGCTTTTGAGTCCATCCAAGGAACTCCCAACACTGCCATCACCGCCATCTCTCCAGAAGATGCCAGAGTACCCAAGCAGTCGGCAACAGACTCTCGTGCATCTTCTGTTACTACAGCCGCTAATCAACATGATCCTTTTGTAACGACTGGGACCACCACAAGCAGGGCTTCGGCTCAACTTTCTGCGACCGCTTCTGCGTTTCAACCCTTGCACCTCTACGGGCCTGCAGTTGGTGCGCCAATTACGGGAAACCTTATCGCCAACGGATCTGGATCTACTACCCTTATTCCAGGTACAATTCAGTACTTGGACAATGTGGTAGCTTCTCAATCACCAGTCCGTAAGTCTGAGGTCACCAGCTATGGTGTAAGTTCTGATTTCTCTTTGCCCACCCTGATATTAGTTGCTAATAGTTCCCCAGAAATTCAGCACGGATACTGGTGCCACTCGTTGCATCAGAGTTACGGATATCTACCAAAAGGTAGATGTCAACAGTTGTGTTCAATACTCTTTCGAGGTATGTCTTTACCTTACCATTCGCTTGTTCATCGTGTCTCTTTCTAACACATCTCGATATAGAAATTGAACAAGGCTGGAGTCATAATCACTGGCGGCAAGAGAATCGAAGTAACAAAAAACAATGTCGTCTACATTAGGATGTCCAACATCTATGAAGCAGCCAAAGTTTATACTGCAATCAAGGTCGATCATGTCGATTGCGCCGTTGAATACATCAAGGTTTGTCGAAATCTACACTTCCCATTCAACAAAAACTAATATTCCGACAGGCCAATGACTTTGGTGGTGTTCGTGAAATCCTTCTTTCTTCATGTAAACAGGAACTAACATCTCCCCAGGCTATCAGTCCCCAATCAAGAACCGTGTACTCTGCTCACGAGGGTCAAGTGATGCTAACAGCAACATATCCGCCACACACCAACATTGATAAGAAGGTATTCGAGGAGAGTCTTCGAGACTTGTTGTCCGTTGAAGGAGAATTATATGCATGGCAAAAATTTCTTGCAACAGAAGCAGGCACCTTCCGACTATGTGCAGAGTTCGTCGATTCCGCAATGGTGGCTCGTGCGATTGAACGCTGCAACAACAAGCTCATTGGTGTATGTATCATCTCTCGTTATTCACTTGATTGGACGTCACTGACTTTTGTACAGAATATTCTTGTGAAGTGTGAGATGCACACACCTGATGTTGCAAAGAATCGTGGCACTTCGCGTAACAATTTGGCACAGGCTATAACCCCTACACGTCGCTCAGCTCCACATGCTGATATTAGTGATGTACTTGGACACATGTCACTTCAGGCCCCCCAAACTCCTGGATTTCCTAACAATGCTGCAATGTTCAACTCTGGTAGCCCAAATCCTCAAGGTATTCAATATATGACCACAAACCATTACGGAATGCTACCATCGACCACAGTTCCATACGTCGTGAGTGGTATGGGCGGCATGTACACCAGCCAACCCCTAGCCTTTCAGACAGGTTTCCCTGCTGCACTTGCAACAAATAGACCCTCGCAGGTTATGGAGCCTTATGAATCTTTTGCTCCACAGGCATACTCGCCACATATGTACGCGAGTCACTTTGCTCAACAAGGTATCCAGCGCTACCCAACTAGTCCACAGGCTTATAGTAATAACTTTGGTTACATGAGTCCTCAGACTCCTAACTCTCGTGACGTAGCTCGCAGTGGTAATCGTCGCCAGCTTCCCGTCGCTCGCACACCCCAGGGACAACTTCGAGGACGCGGAACATCTAATCATGCTGCCAGTCATCACAATCATGTTGATATCAACAAGATTAATGCTGGCCTTGATGTCAGAACTACTGTAAGTGTATGATCGTTCTCGCAAGCCTGCTCATTTCTGATCTTCTTCTTAGGTGATGTTGAGAAATATCCCAAACAAGGTCGACCAAGCCATGTTAAAGAGCATCGTTGATGAGTCTAGCTTCGGAAGATATGATTTCATGTACCTTCGAATTGACTTCTCGAACGACTGCAATGTCGGCTACGCTTTCATCAATTTCGTTGATCCTATGGACATCATCGAGTTCGTTCTCGCTCGCTCAAACCAGAAGTGGCATCGATTCAAGAGTGATAAAGTTGCAGAAGTCTCCTATGCCACCATTCAAGGCAGAGACTGCTTGATTCAAAAGTTTCGCAACTCTTCTGTTATGCTTGAGCCTCCACACTACAGACCAAAGGTAGTTCTATCAATAATTGAGATTTCCCCATATGTATCTGACAAATGGATGTAGCTCTTCTTAACTCACTCCGATGGAGCTAATGTTGCCGGTTTGGAAGATGAATTTCCTCCATCTGACAATGCTTCCAAGCTCAAGCGAAGCTGTGAGAATGCGGAACATGTTGGTAAGTCATCATCTAATCGCCTTTCAAATTAGCACGTTTGCTAAGATTTTGAAGGTCTTTTTGCGCCTAGTGCTGGCCAACATCTACGTGATGAGCAACGTCGCCGCCGCTCTCAGTACGACCGAGGTACAAGCCTTGCAGAACGTGAGGAATATGGCTTTGATGACGACGAGGATGATCTTCATCGCAGCCCTTGTGCCCAAGCCTTTTCACCACACTGTAGGATGACATTCCTTTACTTCCCTATTCAAAGTAGTTTACCCAGTTTTTTCGTTGCTAACATTTCCTAGATTGAGCAGCTGGACTTTAACCTTCCCTTCAAAAGTCATCCATACGATCTGATGTCAATTTCATGCTACCCACTTTGGTTCCTGCCGGCTAGCTATACTCTTGTCAGATACCATCTTTTTCTGGTCTGTTGATTTGCACCAATTTTAACTCACTTGGGGAAGTTTGGGTCAGCCACACGACAAGCCTCATATGGTTTACATTTTGAAGCAGATTGGACGAACCATCTAGTTGACTGTTTCTATTTCTCTTCTTTACCCGGAAAAGTTTATCATATTGCTACATATGAACTTCTTTCTTGCGACACCAGAATTCTTTGCTTAAATAAACTACTTTGGCGGTTACATTTGTGGTGGCTTCATGGCCCCGGTTTTGAGCCTAGGTACAACTAGCTTTTGACAATCAACTAGAAGAAATTTTTGCTACCTATCGATTCAGTTCCCCTCGTATGATCGTAAATGTGCTTTGTTATCATTTTTGAGTAAAATTGCCATCACCATGCATTAAATTGACTTGACTTCGCATAAATTTGGCTGCCGTCGCAATGGGTAGGGTCTTGAATTTGAGTGGGATAGTGATTATGTATATACATGCGGAAAAAAGGGGGAAGACCGTTGGGAGATCATGGAGAAATAGATAGGTTGGTGTCATGAGTGGTATTGTTTGGTGGTGTTTTTTGGGATGCTTTTAATTACGAACCTATGGCTAGAACAACGAGTTAAGAAATTCATTGTTAATCTCAGGGAAACGTCTTCACTTGGCAGAACGGTGTCGGCAACACTCCGCAAATTTTGCAGAAACATGAAATCACCTGATATTCCTTGAATTGTCGGTTCATTCAGAGTGAATGCCTTCCCAGACAGCCGCGATTATTCCCTTACACACTTCGCATTGCATCAACATCAAATCTCCCATGACGAAGGTTGGCTTCTTGTACCTGATCCTTTACAACTTCTACTTCTTTCGAGCAATCAAAGTTGCCATTGGTGACCTCCATATCACGCCCCGCTTTCCCATCTCGACAGCCTTCTTCCGATAAAGATACGCGGACATCTTCGCTTCTTCGTCACTCAATCCATTCCGAGACGATAGCAATTCTATGATCAGCGCTTTGGCGCGCGATTGCCACTCAACCACCAGGTCGTTTATTTCTGGGTTTTTATAGGGTGCAAACGTATGATCGGTCACATGCACATCTTCCACGGGTAAAGCTCCGAGAATCTTTTCTACGTGCTCAGGTGGATCGTAGGAAAATCCTTGGTCGCCCCAGTATTTGAACATTTTGTCTACCCCGGCTTTCCACAAGGGCTCGCTTTCATCAGCGGAGTGTGTCATCTGTAAACCGTTGCGGTAGGACATGTCGGTCCATTGGAGATATCCACCGGGTTCTGTGTTGGTTAGTTATGGTTTCGTTGGTCTGGGTTTGCAGATTGAGAATGCCTCTTCTTACTGAGTAACTCGACTAGATTCTCTACAACGCCTTTGATCTGTTCGATTTTCAGCGCGAGCACGACGAGTCGTATATGCACGACATCGAAAGTGCCGTGGTATTCTTTAGGGAAAGTCTTTGTCATATCCCATAATACAAACTTGTTTTCCGGAGCAGGATTCTTGGGAAATTGGTCAGGAGAAATGTCAAACCCTACTGTCTCCGGGACGTTGTATCCTCCGTTTGCAAATTCTTCAGCCAATTCTCTGAGCCAAATGCTGAGTAAGAGTCAGTATTGAATTTGCTAATCTAAAGGAACAAAGCTATCATACCCGGTACCTGTTGCTATATCTGCTACTCTGGAAACATTTCGCTTGGGGATTTGGGGGTCAAGGACGTGTCCATCTCTGATAACTTTGATGGTGCTGCTCTGTCGATCTAGCCTGGGACACGTTAGTACATACGATAAATCGAAATATCTCACGAGATTCCCACCTGTCTCTCTCTTCCTCATCTCTTCTATTAAGCAAGTAAAGTTCCTGATCTGGTGACTCCACCTCAATTGTAGTAACTGTGGTAGTTGGCAACTTGGCGATGGCAATCACATCCTCTACCGCAGCAATTTCCATTTTCAATGCGAATGGCAATGAGGAGTCCGTGTAGATATTTTGATAGTTTGAATTTTGACACCAAAGATAAGTGTCGACCTAAAATTCCAAGAAATTGCTTTCAGATACAATGCCGACAACATCAGATGTAAAAAAGCTCAAGTCTATTTATGATAACCCTCGATACAGCATGGCTCTCGGTACCCTTCTTCTTCACATGGTGTGGAAAAAGAGACAAGTCAACAACTAACCAAATCCGACGCAACGGCTATGTTCCATTGCAGCACGCATATTTTTTCAGCTGTCCACTGTTCAATTACGAAGGCGGATTTAGCGAAAAGAGGCAAGACAAGCGATGGCACCCCTGCATATACGTGGGAATTCCGAACTGCCGAAAATATGATATTGTGGAAAAAAACACTCTGTAGAATCGAAACCTTAAGACGGCTATCTAATATGGAAAATCTCAATATGGTTGAGTAGACGTGCCATGAGGCTTTTGGAATTCGGTGATGCAGGGTTCGCATACCCCACACTTCCTCCCCAATCACGTCGTGTATCTTGACTGACATGCTGTTGAGACGGCTGATTAATTACTGCTTATATGAGCATTGTTCCATCTGCTTATCAGTTAAACTAGTCCGAACGTAGTGAAGTGTGATTCAGGGTTTATTCTGTAAATCGATAGCAGCAGGTCTCCGCGTCACTGCGCTATGGGCATTCCGACCAGTAGCGGCGGCGACATTCGTAATCTCTCAGTTGCTATCTATTTTACCTCCCTGGAAGTAAGCTTCCGCGCTGTATTTCGTATTGATAGTCTGGGAGAATTGAGTCAGTGCAACGGACGCACAGCATAACGGACGCACAATGTAACGGACACGTAGTGGCATGTGCAAGTTCCTGTCAAGAATAGGCTCTCAATGATCTGAGTTTGTAGTTAGCTGATGTATACACGCCCATCCTGACACTTCGAGCGTGAATCTGTACGTGTGATCCAATAAACATGTGGAGCGCATGATGAAGCCCCATTGTAGTATTTAGCAGGTAGTACTACCCAGATGGAGTTAAATATAATAGAAAGCATTACTGCATGCATGCAGCTGGAGTTTGGAAGGCATTGCAACCTGCTTTTTAGAGAGCAAGCTCAACAAGCTCACATGCAAATAAGTACGAGTGCCATAAAGAGCTGGCCGAGCACGGAGCTCAATATGAAAACTTTTGTGATGGAAAGATATCATAGGGACTCGCAAGAGGAAGCAGTTTCAAGATGCACATCATGTACTTAAGAGTGCCCCCACCACAATTGAGCTACTTGACATTGTGGCGTTCCGTCATTATGAACTATGTAGCCTTTAGCCCTTTGATCGAGACCTAAGTGTCGATGACTACATTCTTCACAATAGCTTCTCTCTACCACATCAATCGTAGCAGCAACACGTGACCAGTTTTATCTATCTAGCTTGGCAGGTAGGCGCGTGAGGCCTAAGAGCTGGAGAGCTAGGTGCTTTTTCAATAAGTTGCGGATAGTGTACCCCATTGTACTGAGAGACGTACATCGGGCCTGAGAGATGGACGGTTTGTGGTAGTCCCACAGGCAACAGGTACTGAACATTGATGTTTAATTGAAACTTTCGTTTGCTCTTCTCAGACGATCACTATCTGAATAAAATGAAAAGTGTGAAATTGCTGCCTTTATGGAATATTTATTGTGCATCCCTTTCCCCAAATGATAGAAGGTTGGCTAAAGTATAACTAAATGCTAACGCCACGTTTGTAGAAGACCACTTTTCGTGGTTAGTACGAGTTTGTCATTGTAAATGAAAGGCAGTTACACCACGTGTTCTTGGTCATATAGAGCTTTCTATAGTCAGCCCTGTCACTCGAGTTTAAAGGTTGCGAGTTGGCCTCATTCCGCTCTGTTATATCATCTTACTCGAAATGATTTATATATCCCTTATGTCAAGAAACATGATCATTCATAAATCTCCAAAAGCTGTGATCACAAGAATCCCCATCAAGCTGCCACATTTTTGTACGAGATGTTGTATTGGGATTGGGATTGACGATGCCACTATCATATATGCTCGCCCAATCCATTACCTTTGGCGCAACTAATGCCAAAAAAAAAGAAAAAAAGATTGCAAACACAAGTCAGTTATTGGTCGCAGGGTAATAAAAATTCTGGGTTTGGCTAAAGCTACTTGAAAACGACTATATGCAAGGCGCAATGTTTAATGCTGACATAAGAGCTTTTATCTGAACAGACGTACACGCCTTCCAGTCCACGGGTATGCTCAATGCAGCCTTGACCATGACATTCTGATTACCCAGTAGATCAAACCGCTTCATTGCCCATTCAAACTGTTGAAGGGTGTCAACTAGATAATTTCTATTCTCATAAGAATACATGTCATATCTGGCACCTACAAGAATTGCAGCGTCGAAAGTGCGTAGTTTTAGAAATGAAATCCTACGAAAGAGGATATCGAACAAGGCCCTTTGATAAACTAGAACTTCATGAGTAGCTCTAAGCGCTAAAGCTCTGCTAGATTCGGGTACACCCGAAACTTTTAAGGGATGACGCGCAGATGATTCGTGCTCGAACAGTAATCAAAGTGGCATGTCATTTGTTAGGTAGAGCAACGAGCGAATTTTAGACTGGCTGTAGTCGCACACAACACTATCAAATGACATATCGATAGCATGTTTGGAGCCTAGGGTAGGATTATACTCCGGTGGTGGGAATTGGAGAGTGATACCGAAATATGGAAAGAACAACACAGGAAAGAACTTTATATATTCCAACAATCCAAGTGCAGCCGTTTCAAGCATAGAAAGGGATGAACTGTTCCAACTATTGAGATTATCTGGGAAAATATCTTCATCCAATTGATAATATCGATGGCTAACTTCTCGGAACAAAGTCTCAGGGAAGCTTCCGATAACTAATTTGAAGGAAGCTGGCGCATCAAGTTCTTGTACTTCTCTGGTAGCCCGCTCTTGTCTGTCGAAGCTTTGGTAAAGAGGGAATCGGCTCGGTGTCATGGCGCTATATCAATTTCAAGATACCAAGCGTTGTGATGTTATCCCCACTAGGCTTTGCAAATTCAAATGCGCTGACCTGAGACATGGGGTATGGCTCAAGCTCTGTAACTTCAGATGATTTTTCGTCGTCGAATGAGACAATTATACTTTTCCCCAACATTCGCCACTTTTTGGTAATTTCTTTTCCAAAATGACATGTCGATTGCTCGTTTCGAACAAGACAATTAGAGCAAGGGAACGAGTGATCGCACTAGAAATAGCATTGTGTCTGCTCTAACAACGTTTGCTTACGCAAATATCTTCTGTGCGCGAGAACGCTTTCCTGTTCCTCTTATAACGGGTCTTCAATAAACTGCGAGTTTTGATATCAGGTCTTTCCGTGGTGTTCTGTCACTTTGCTCCGAGCCATGACTTTGCACGGGGAATTACGTGTCTCTCCTTATTATTAAGGGTGACCCGTTGCTGGAGACTTGACGATACACCCGCGCCATGGCTCACATTCTTGAAGCCACTCAATGTAAGAATCTGTGGCGTCAAGTTCCATGATCGTTTGGCAATCATCTTACCAAGTGGCGGACAAGCAGACTTTGTTTGATTTGCCGTATATCCTGATATTTCCTATCGTTCGGTCCCGTAACTGCAGCGGTCGTCATCAAAATTGACTGTGCCGTCTCCGTAATACGTGTTTCTTTCTATAGCCGACACCATTTCTTCATACACGGTTAGAGTTTCCCATATTCAAGACAAGAAGAAGTATCGGATGATTTCCAGATGTGCTACGAATAGACTTGTTTCGACTTCGAATTCTTGAAGCGGAATAATTTGTTTTTGGACGGAGATACTTCGGATCAAAGATAGGGCTACGGTTTTCCCAATGAGGATTTCCCAGGGGACTAAACCCCACTCACTTCAAACACCATCGTCAAAACTTCAGACAACAAACACGAGATTTTCAATTTCTTTACTTCCTTTCGCCCCAAACACCTTGGCACTGGTTTCAACGTTGCTATCTTACTGCAAAATCTGGTCTGATTATTTGCCGTTAATCTATTCAAAGCTCATTGCCGCTCAAAGCCCCATCTTAACAGTCCCTCCTTGGCAGCGGGTCAGACGTCTTGAGTTCTTTACTTATCAGGATGATATCTTAGTATTCTTTTCAATTCTTAAGACTTTGGGCAGAAGATGCGAGGTAGTATCCTTGCGTCCTGTATCACAATATTCTGTCGAGGCAACGAAGAGTCTTTTGTATCTAAGTTTGGAGTCAAAGTAAGCTTGCTTTGACTTCCAAGATCTGTCATCTGAAAAATCTGATACGGCGAACATCTGAACAATACGATACAATGAGCGTACAGGCATGAGATGACGACCTTGGGTTGTTTCTGAAATCGTTTTCAATGGGTGGGAATTAGTTCCTATTCTTGCTCAGTACTGAGAAAGTACCGACCTCAGTGACAGGCAGGCAAAAATATTCCTAAGATCCACGTTGCCTGCAACAGATTTTGTAGGAGAATTGCATTATTATTCAGGAGGCGATATGAACTATTACCCATGACGAACTTGTATCGTGAAGTTTTGCTAGTACACAGTTCTTAAAAGGCAGGAGAATTTTCCTTTTTACCGTTTGTACATCTACATCCGCATCTCCAGTTGTGTTCGCAATTCTCTCTTTTTCATTACACTTTAGACTCTTTCAATTCTGTACAGGATCCGGGCGATTCTCCTATAATCTAACTCTTATTCATTCATTTCTTAGTGCAGGACACCTTCCTTATCGTCAATATGTATACTTCAATTTTATTTCAAGCGGCATTATTGTCCGTTGCTCAAGCCCACGGTGTTATCCTTGCTGCTCAAGGTATTGCGGGATCCCCCGCAAGTGTTGGATTTAAAGGTAAACTTTCAATCTAAATTTCCCCATATTTCGGGATATTAATCTAATTTAATTTGCTTAGTCGACGATGCTATCGCAAGAAATTGTACCGGCATCAGTCCTTGTCAACAAGACACAACCATTATTCGTGATTCCGAAATCGCAGCCAACATCGTCAATGAATGTGGTCGTACGGAATTGAGCGGCAACATTGATGTAGGAGAAAACACCGAAAATGCCCTCTCCGCCAATGCGGTCACAAAAGTTAAAGCCGGTACACTGATGACCGTCACCATCCATCAAGTCAACGCAGATGGAGCCGGCCCCTACACATGTGATCTCGACCAGACTAGCAATGCTGGTGTCATTTCTCAAAACTTAACTGTCACCAATAACGTACCGGGAGTCAACGGACTATCTCAAGCCAAAACTCAAGACTTCAACATCACTGTTCAAATGCCCGACAACCTTGCCTGCACTGGTGCCTCCACTGGAAATATCTGCACCGTCCGTTGCCGTAACAATGCCGTTGCCGGTCCCTTTGGTGGTTGTTTTGCTGTTCAACAAACCGATATTGCTGCTAGCAATAACAGCGCCAATACTATCTCTACCGCACAAACACTCAAAGCAATCGAAGCACAAGTCCAAGAAAACAACGTTGATCTTCCCGTCGCTGTTGCCGCTAATCAAGCCGCTGGTTCCGCTGACGGCGTAAAGGGTTTCAATGGTGCTAATGGTATGTTAATCCAATCTCATAATGAAAACATACAACTAACAATACCAACAGCCCTTCTCAGCGCCTCCATAACATCCAAAGCAGCCCCTGTCATGACTCTCGCTGTAGAAAACGTAGGCGTTAACGCAGCTGTTGCATCTACAACTACAACCTCGTCCACCTCATCTGCAAAGGCAACTGCAACCACTGCCGCTAAAGGAAACGGCAAAGGAAATGCCAATGCGAAGGGCAACGCAAACGGAAACGGAAATGGAAATGGAAACGGAAGAAATAATAATAATAAGGCAAGAGGATCGAGTTTGAAGTGGGCTAGTAGACTATTTGCGGCTGATAGCTGGGAAGAGCCTTCGAACTAGACTTTAGTGGTGCTATATAGTGGAGTTCATGTAGAAAATGGGAATAGATACCGGAGCTGCATGTCAAGAGATACCTATTTCATGAGAATGGAAGATGCTTTTTTTTAATGTATATAAATAGATTTGGAGGGATAACTTTGGGGCATGTGTAGATGATATGTGGACGAATGAATTGAAACATTGGAAGATTGACAGATTATTTGTGCTCTACGAATTGCAAGTGGATCGAATATGCTTGAGAAGGAATAACATCTTGAAACTTGAGTGCGTTGCAATGTACCCTCTTGCCTTACCATTGATCATGTATAACTCTAGGTTGTCCTTCTAACCAAGTCAAAAGACACAAGCCAATCCAGAAAGTGCATAATGCATACATAACATTGCATCGTCTTAGACACCCGCAATGTTCGATTGCTACACGTGGACGATAGATCTTGGGTCTTCGATCCCTTCTTGATCTATCTAAGCTACATTCTGAGCCTTCTTGTTGGAACATTTCACCCGTTCTTTTTCTACGCTATCACTGGTGTTATGTATCCATCCAAATACAGCAACCACCTGCATAACGCACTTTCCTCGACACATCACACATGAATCTAATCCGTCTTGTCATTTCACGAGCTCTCCAGACACATCATAAAACAGCACAGTTTCAACGATTCAACCAAGCTAAGGTAGATAAAATAGTAAATTTGTAAAGTAAGGTAGCCCTAAGTTTTTTTTCTTCATCATCATAAATGTAAGAAAATGTATCCGTAAGTCATCAATCATGATTTCGAGAAAATCAATCGCCGCCCAGAAGAAGCGCGAGCCCCCAATGCAACGCTCACTCATAACATCACGTTTATGTTCCTGACCCACCCACCATCTCCAACGCTCAAACAGGTTTTCCTCCATGCAATGCATCGCTATCCTCCGCAAAGAGTGTAACCTCCGTCTTCACCACCTGTAACAATTGCACCATGCAAACCCACACCATAAAACACCACCCACTGTCTTCCTCTCGCATTTTCCTCGCCACTCGCTTACTTGCTCACTACAAACAAGCACTTCATCACCACAACGCAACCAACCACCCATCTTCCAATCTCCAAAGGCAAAACATAGGAAAGTTGCCTCTCCGTAAAGACCGTGTACAGGAATATCGAGTCGCCTCATTTTCTCCACGAGATTCCGGTGCTGTGATACCCAAGAAAATCGTGGCCCCATTCGTCATACACAATAGTATTTTGCAATAGTATTTGTATCTTGTAGATGTTGTAGATTCTTGATCATTCCGCTCCAAACAAAACAAGAGTTCATAAGAAAGCAAGAAGGAAATGTAAAAGAGTAAAGGAAATTCGTACAATTCGTTGATCTCATAATGATGTGAATAAATGAAATGGATGAAATGTGAGTATATGGAAAAATTCATCAAGGAAGTCGTTAATAGCAACGTGCCAGTGGAATATTCTTTCCTTTTGATAATATGCCGCCCGCAATGGTCCGTATTTGTCATGGATAGTCGTAAGTCGTATTTTCATTTGCCTTGGGGTCCCTGCTGTATCGTTTCATGTATAGGTGGGTAGTACGTAGTGCATTGCATTGCACCAACATGGATTTGCCGGCAGTCACTTCTTAGCTGCCGACAGTCATTGGGTATCTGATGTCTCTATTTTCCGATTCAGAAGATGTGCTAGAGGAGCTGCTACTGAGCGTTACAGAATGTTGCCGCTGACGATCATTTATCCTCTTGTTGCGGCTGGCCGTCTCGTTGGCAGGTAATCCTTGGATGACGCCATTACGAGCCAGCATCCCTCCATTAACTGACGACTGACGGCAAACCATAAAGGCCTGTGTAGCGGCATTCTCCTGAGCCAAGGCATCGGTTTGGTATGCTAGATCTGTTTGGTACTCCTGTCCATTGACGAGAACGAGACAAGTGAAGCCTTGTGCGTCGCGGTACGTCTTGTACTGGGGACCTTGCCAGCCTCGTCGACGGCACAAATCTGTCTACATGTCAGCGGGTAGACTAGGGATTTTGTTGCACAATTTGAATTCGGAGAGTGAATGTAACGCTGGCGTTCATAATATTGACCCCATCAGGAATAGCATATCCATTGGGGCGTGTTTGGTAGCGCAGCGGGATTATGGATCCCAAGAAGACGGCAACAGATGAACATAGTGAGGCGACCAACTCAGCCCTCTTTTGATGCAACGCCGGCCAGGGCAGGGTTATATCAAGAAGCCTAATCGAATACAAATTCCCACTGAGGTGATGAAGAAAAATTTCCGAGCTGATGAACCAACGTACTCTCTAAATATGCCATGTAGAACCCCATTTTGGTATTCTTAAGATGTCAGAGTGTGATGGGATCCCCGAGACAGAAGATATGCCCGTCGTCTGAAGTGTGGTAAGACACCCCGTCCTCGATCGATGTCAGGCAGTGAGTATGCCTTGAATTCAGATGAATGCCGAACGCTACAGATCTGACGATATGGATGCAATTGAGCCCAATGTTTGAGGTATACAGGGAAATATGCACACACTCAGTGCCGTGTATGTGAATACAATGATGTATGGATAGTGTTGTGGTGTTGAAGAATAAGGCTGACTATGATTGAGTGGATGTTCTAGGGGTTCTGTGCAGGACTTTCCTTCATTAATGGCGAGACATGTGTGATTTATTGCAGAGTCTAATGGTTAGCGTTGAACAAGGATCATGGAGTGATTTCCCGTAGCAGAATTGAGAAGCTGTTTAGATAGGACAATGGCTTGAACCATCTGCAAGTCATGAATGCGGCTCTTTGGATATGATGGCGAGCGATGTGTTGGCGTGTGCCGTTGCCAGTGATAATATATCAACATAATTAGGCAAACTCCACCACAGCATGGGAACGCATAGAAGCGATGATCTTGGATAGCTTGAACGTACGAAATCTCCGTTCTGAGAAACGTCTGCAGATATTGAAATTGTCGATGCAGCGGGGTGGCAAAAAGAGCTCGCGAGATACCTTGTCCCACTGATCCGGACAAAATATGGGAACATGCCATTGCCATGGGGTTGAGTAAAAAGTTTGCGGACCGCGAGCAGAGAGAAAGAGCCAAGAGTCAATGGATACTGTAGTACCATGGATGGATGGCAAAAAAGATGAGTAAATCTTCAGCAATTACGGACTTTTTCCCAGAGAGATCCGCTGGGTTGGCCACTAATGCACAGAAATCGATGGCATTACAAAAGTACCATGGGTCCAGATGCAAGAAAAACGTCAATATTGCTCGCTAGGTCAGGGACATAATCCTCCAGATATTCATCTAATTGTACCTATCATCTACCGATACATTGAGATGGAATCCTTTGACCCCAAAATGGCTTGTGCTTTCCTTAAAATGGTGCCATTGAGTGCTTGTTGATAACACATGTGGAAAGAGTGAAGGCGTTTCCTGTTCTCGGGATATGTCTCTATTGCCCCGCACTACCACGGTACATTTGGGGTTGTAAAGGAGAGACGAGAGAAAGAGAGAAGGAGATCGCAACAAGCAGCGCGATTGACGCGGAATGACTGGAGTACGGCTTGACACGAAGTCGGTGAGCCTTCAGTGCATGAACAGTGGCTGGAATTGACCGGCCTTCATCATCGAGTATTGTGCTTCAATATTTGTGATAGTTGATTCGCGAAGGGATCAAAAAAAGATGCGAGGCAAAAATCAGCCAGGTCTACTACTAACCGTAAACAAGGTTGTGGTGCGTATGCTTGATGAGTTGGCAGTGCGCTTGACATCTCGATAGTAATGATTATATGCCGTTGAAATTGAAAATGGTATAACGGTAAAGTATATTAAGCAAAGCGTGAAGATACCGTAGATCTAGAAGTTAACGAGTCGCTGGTCGGATGTACTCTTGATGTATGAAGTGTGTAGACGACTCTAGAGTTTTGAGGTTGGAAGGAATAAGTTTGGGAACATTATTCGTTGATGGTTCGTGGAAATAAAAGCTTTTCCCCTTGATCCCTCCATGGAACAATCAAACACCGAGAATGTCAAACTACACAAACAACCTTATGCAGCACAAAGTACGATAAATAATCTGCTCAATCGTACTATCTTTCGAAATATCCAGAATTACCAGCTTCCTCTTTGGCTCACTATTTTCATTTATTTAGCAAGATTATGGGAAGGACCGTCGCACCGTCCCGTTCTGAAGATTCGACCGTTACATTGACCGGGTACTTGGGGGACATCTTTCACAATTGAGCCGTTGGCAGACTTCCCATTGCAATCGAGCGAGCATATGTACCAAGTAAGAATCCTGCAGATTTCCAATCGCCATTGATCATACCGAGAATCCTACCGTTTGGTACGAATGCAAGCTCGGGGACATTAGAATACGGCCGTGACAAGTTGATCTGACATGAAAGAAGATGCATCGAGATTTTAATCGTTCCAATTTGCATCGTCTACAAGTTCAACTTCCTCTCGTTTAACCCAGACCTAGCTTCCGTTCTGTTGACCAAGATAGGTGGCGAGTCGGAAGAAATTGCTCTAGAGGGAAGTAATTGATTCGTAAATAAGCGATGTGGGTATATGATACAAAAAAAGTACAAGACAGTGGAAATAGCCTGCATGTTGCAGCTCTTGCAGTTCTATGCAACTAGCGAGTAAGTGAAGGGGTTCTCTCTTTCTCCTCTTGCGACGGAGAGGGGAAATCATCCTGTACCTAGCTCGCCTAGGTACTTTAAGCAACGAAGTGGAATCAAAACGCATGTGCGGACAACAATTACTGGAGCTGGAACTTCTACATACAGTATCTAAAGTACAGATCAACAATAGTATCTATCTCCGAAGCTCCCCCAAAGTCGGGAACCCTCTCAGATCCTGGATCCATTGACACCGGTACCATGATACGACATGTCCTCAAAAGTCCAACACAACAACACACACAACACACACTTCACATGGTCGACCCAACATGTATCGTGTTGCCATATCCACTCCTCACTTGTACAAGAATAACAAAATAGTTGGTGGTACCTTGCGGTGAGCTCATGACGATTCAATGAGACCGAAAACAGTTGGTAGAACCCGAGAGAACCGACCAATCTTCAATGTGGGGGGGATGACCTCGACCACCAGTTTTCCATTCGATCTTCTTGTTATCCCGATAAATTGGCGAACCATGAGAAAAGAACTTCCCCAAAGCATCCTCTCTCGGTCTCCACTTTCCCACCAGTCTAGCGAAAATCTACTCGGTATCAAAACGGAATAAAACGCGAAGGGAGACCTTCATGCACTTCATGCAACTTACCTAGGAGCTACAGTACCTAGCAATATAGTCTCTTTATGATCTATCATATGGATTTCATGTGAAGAGAGATTAACAAATCCTTCGTTCTTTTCCGGAACTGAACGAGCAGTTCAGTACGACGTATCTCGTAACTGCCACCTATATTGCCATTGGGCTTAATGTATCTCACAAACGCCGCTTGCTTTTAAATCAACGCAATTTTTCCAGTCACGTTCAAATTTTGACCCTGTTGGCAACAAAGAAGGAAGGACAACGATCAGGCCATTGTTAAGCTCAGCCACCGAGAAAATGGAAGATCTAATTGGCCGGCTGGTCTTAACTAACGCATCGTTGAATATGTCTCGCGGGTAAATAGATTATGTACATCACGTGATACACAAAGCCCACCCCGGTCGCCGGCGAAGTGTGAAACTGGCGCCATCTATATGTGCAGATTTTTCATCCCTTAAATACCAGTCCCGAGCCAATGTAAACTCAGCCCATATATTCAGAATGTTGGTACGTTTTAAAAGGTCCCTTTTGAAGCGAAGTATGCCCGTGTCTCCTCAGCAACGCCTTCTGGTATCACGAAAACCGGGTGGAGAGTCCCCACCCTATCCTCTTCATCATATATCTGTGTTGTCTCAACATAAGGCTCGGCCGTCCATTGATACGGTGAAACGAGCGTTCCACTCGATTCCGTTTTCTGTGCAGACGTGTTGAAATGCCACTTATGCTGTGCGGAACTAAGACCTGCCAAAACATAGCATGTGTGATACGAATCAGAGCGACTATAATAGAAGATCAGCATTCATGTGGAGCGGAAAAGAAAAGATCGGCTCTTCATGCTTACTGGCTGGGCTTATCCCTCAATCCACCCCGATTTCCTGTATCCTGACAACAGCAGAGGATATACCTGATCAAACCGTCGCGGCTGTAGAGATTTACCGAATCTGGATTCGAAGATGGCCCTGTTTGAGTTTGCTGCGTTGGACCTTCAAGGCACGCTTCTAATAGAGGCCAGCATCCTCCAACCCAATGGGAGTAGCACCCGTCAACTAACTTATTCGTGCGACCTGAGAAGCCGCCTTCCGGCGCATATTGACGTGCTGATAGCCATGAAATAAAGCCGGGTACGTCAAGATACCTAGATATGTGTTAGCATAGTGATTCGTGGATGATTAGATATGCAGTTTTAACCTACTGAGGTATCGTGATGTGTGGTTCACCTAAGATGCACAAACAGCCTAATGCTAAGAACGCATACGCGCCATGGGCTTCGACATTAGGTCGAGCACCTATACCGCCCTCAAATGTTTGACCTATTCTATTAGCACAAGTTTTAATTTCTTCTTTGTTTTGAACATACATCTTGAGATCCATTCCGGAAGTCCATCGATGAAAGTAGTATAGTTTGATGATCTCGCGGGAGCATCTTGGGGAAGATCGAGAGGTAAACTCAGGAGTGTAATAAGAATCAGAGCACAATATGCACCACTTTGAAAAATATCAGTTACCCGTCGTTCATTGTCCTACTTCCGGAAGGCTTACCGAATATCTTCCTCGCCACCCACAGCCATTCTAAACCCCCCAGTAGACATCTTCAAGCTACCTAGCCATTTCCACATTGCTTTGCGATCAATGATATCCAAAGCTTCTTGCCCACCTACCATAGAAATTGATAGAATGTTTGCATAGGTAGTGGCCAAATGTGACATCTGACCATTTCCTCCACCAAACCCTCCAGTCGCATTCTGTATGGGTCGACATGTTGAAATGATTTTCTGTCGATATGATGATACATCTTCTCCCAGGGTCGAGAGACCAGCCAATGCCCAGTAGAACATCCATGGTCTGCTTGCATCAGCAGCGACGTATGCCGAGGGCAGCTTTTGTAGATTCTTGTGAAGGAATTGAATGTGCTTTTTTCGATTCAGATGTGGAACCCCATATGGATTATAAGTCAATCCAGCTTCTTTTCCCGAAAGAAAAGGAAGACATTCTTGAATGGTTTGATCTTGAAGATGAGATGTCTGAGTCTGCAACTGATCGTGGAGTAGGGGGTACTCCGTGAAGGCATCGGGAATCATGTTTATAAAAGCCTCTGCTGTGATTGGTCGGGATGAGCCGTAAACAATATCTTCATCAATTTCAGCCTCAATATCTGCTTGGGATGATGAAGATTCTTGTATAATAAAACCAGATGTTTGTCCTTGATTTTCTAGTGAATCATCATATAGAAGCTGATCTAGTTTGCTTGAAGGAGATAGAGATGAAGACTTTTTATTCGAGCCCTTCTTCTCTTCCATTGCACGTCGATTGAACTTCACACTATGGTGAGGCTTCTTTCCTTTGATGATGAAAGTCATGTGGGCTGGATGTTTTTTTGTCTAAGATTCAAGGAATACAATGATCTTCCATTATGATTCGCTATTGGTCTTTACTATTGTTTTACTGATTGATGCTTCGAGGTTGACCAGGTCAGTGCTCGCTTACAAAATTCTTACCACAAGAGCCAAAGAAGGCTCGGAAGGCTACCAAAGTCTGAAATGAAAGTCCATCTTTATCTTGATCAAAAATCCGCATTTGGTTGAATTTGTACCATTATCGATATAGAATTTTTGTATTCAAAAATTCAATGGAAGATGCAATGCAAGCAACGTTCCATACGTCTTCTACGATTGTTCCAAAGATCCAAAATGTAATTCGGTTGCAACACATTTACATTTACATTCGCATTTGCATTTACATTCACGAAATACAAGTTGCCGTAAGGCGAGACTGCAAGCAAGTTAAATCTCTCTGTTTTGATAGTTGGGCTGTCATCCTTCGGCCATTGCCGACCTATGATTACTGGTGGTACAGTGCCATTTTGCCCAAAGCATGTATCTGCAGATGTTGAATGCCAGCCAGGGCTCTAATTCGTTCGGGAGCCTAATCAATCCTACTCCGTTGTGTTCTTTCACTCGTAGCACATCGAGTCCGCATCATAAAGCGCAATGGTGAAGGATGTATGTAACTTGAGGATAGTGGCAAACAGTTGTTGACGGCCCAAAGGAAGTTTGAAGGAAGAGAAAAAGAGATTATCATACATAGAACATGAGATGGCAACTCTTTTCCAACACTGACAAATCTCCAATTTCATAACAAAAGGTTTCACTACTTAACATGGGGCGCGTTATGCGAGGAATACGTCGGCATGCGCTGATTCGCAGAACGTTTTCGGATTGACCAATGAAGAGATCCGAAAGGAAATTCATCCGCTGCAGGCGAGTGGTGTTGAGGCGTTTTGGCATGAATTTCGATATGCAGCTATCGGAGGGATAGGCCGTTCTATTAGAGGATAGGATACGAGGAATTTTTAATCAAAGAAGCCATCGTGGGTTACACTGCTTGGATAACACCTACTCAATCAACACATTTTGTACATGAAAGTAGGTATTGGTGCCAAGTTAATGATGAAATTGCGAAACGATGAGGGGAAGGAGGGGTGGAAATGAGGGGCATAAATGTTAATCGCATATGGCGGCTGTTCGTTGATTGCTTTTTTATCTTATCATACAATCTTCGTACCTGGTGTCTCAGATTTCGTTGGCACGTTGTCAAGGTCCACCAGTAATTCATCTATATGGTGCGAATGTAGACACATATTGTACCAGACAGAATACTTGAGATATTCTCAATCCAAAATTGTTTCGATAGAAGGCATTTGTGAAATGCCGGTAGATATCTAGTTAGATACGGGAGGGTGGTACAAGACGAACGTAAGCAGCATAGCGTTAATCATTGATGAAGATCATCTATTATCACTCCGATAAGAATTGATTGTGCTTGAGCTTGAATTGAGTTTATTGCAGGACGGGATTCCCTGGTTCACTGCTACCTCAATGTTGCATCTCTGACGCCTCCTTCGTGTAGAACTTATGGAAATGAGATAGAAACTTACAGTCGATGTACGGTCAGAATCCTCATTTGATTACCGTACATGTAAGCAAATGAGATGGTGGTCACCATCTTACAATATTCTTCCAGGTCCCATTACCCATACGCAGGATAACTGGCCGATTCACACATTCAAAAGTTCTTGTAGAGTCAGTTCTTGAGGTTTGACAACGCTTGAAACAAAGTTTAGCCCGAATTGGAGTTTTCTGGATTGTGATAGCTCGGATGCTAAGCTCACTCTGCCCTCTCGGGTCTAGGCGAAAGATCTGACATGCCGAAGCCAAAAAGAGAGACGTGCACTCAACAAACGAGGGGATTCTGAAGAAATTTGAGAAAAAACTCCGTAGGGAGAGGCAGAGAGGGTCCAGGGGACCATCTTATCATCTTTGGCGTTGTAGATGTGGGAAAGGGTTTAAAAAAAGTATGTAAAACTCTAATGGTAGGATAGATCCGAAAGATATTGATTGGCAGAGCAACCATTGAGTCAAAATGGAGACCTCAGCCATCTCAATTGGAGATTCAAAAGTCTTTAGTCGGATGTCCAGAACCTTTTCTAGCAATCGCCACTGAAATCATTCGATCTCGTCTACTCCGTCCATGTAGCGTTCGGGAACCCATTTCATGATTTGTTGTTCAGTAGATTTTCATGTACTGTACGGAGTACTATTTATTGACAGGTGTTGTTCTTGACTCAAATTAGTGGTAAGTAGGTAGGGAAAGCCTAGCACCCGCTATTATATAGCCATTGTTTTAGGTACTGCGCCGCTAATTCGAGCATCAATCGTAACTACTCACAGGCTATTTCTCCACTTCCCTAACTTCCAGCCCCTCTTGAAAAATAGAGGGTTAACTTACAGTGGGAGCCCACTAGGTATCAAGCTATTCTGAGTCTTAAGACTCCTTCCAATCACTATTGCTTGTTATTTTCATGGGTGAGCCCTGAAAAATACTCTGTCTTCCAGGGACTTCTCCAAAATCTACCATAGAAATCGAATCCATTGGACACATGACTTCTCTGCTCGCAGTAGTCTCATGCTGCCCCATGCAGTAAGAAGACGCTTGTGGTTCCAGCCGTCACACTTGATTCGGCGAAGGCTTGCCAGTGGGCTCAAAATGGCTGGGGTCGTATAAGTTTGCCGAAATCCCACACCGCTCCTTATGTGGATCCTACCCTCACCCTACGAACTTCTACTACCAATAGGCCACACACCGACTAACATCGTGAGGTTTTCCTCTTCTTCAAAGAGCGGTGTCTTCGACCCTCTTTCTTACAATACTATTGACCATTCCAACAAGTAATCCGCGACAATGAGCTCAAATCTTGACTTCTCGCCAGAAGGTCTATTAGACCTCTCGTACGAGCAACGTGACCCACGATACCAATTTACCAATATGACTACGCGTTCGACTTGGCCACTGCCGTTGGATATGGCCTCAGGAGGATCTGACGACCGACGGGAAACTTCGCCAGGACATAGTGGACACCAACAGTATCAAACCGGACATCATCATAATTCTCCCACATTATTGACAGATTGGCCGATACAACAACAACCACAGCATTTGTCACCCCAGCAACTTTCCCCTCAGCAATTGTCGCAATTTATCCCGGATAACTCGTTGATGGGACCACAATATACATTTGGCAGCCCGTACCAAACCTCACCTCTCGACTATGGCTTACCTGCAACCACACAAGCAGCTCTCGAAGCCAGTCTCCAGATGGAAGCCCCATTCAACGGACTCACACAGACGGTCGAGGCACAGGCGAATCAATGGCAGGATTGGCATGAATTCGAGTATGCGATGAATTTTACCTCAAACCATGGAATCCCAAGTATAGGACGACAAAGCCTGGGAAGCAACTCACCGACGGGTACGTACTTGGAAGTGCTCTCGTTACCCAGTTCGAGTAGCGATCACGGATGGTCGACAGTCGATACGTACCAGGATTTCAACACCTATCAACAAGCGCAAAACCAAGCAATTTTCAACCCTGGACAAACTTTACATTTGCGAAGTCACTCGGATTCGTCGCAATCTGATGGTCACCAATCGATAGATACGTTTGGCAGTTTTGAGGATTTGTCAGGATACCCGTATTCGCCGTACTCACCGGGCTCGGATAGCTATTTGGATGTGACGGGTGGACACAGGAATTGTTTCCACGGCGAAGCACACCACCACAACCACGATATTATCAGTCCCGCCGCGGCCGTTCCCCCGCAGCCCATCCAAGCTCCATCTACGAAATCCACGGCGGCTTCCACAACCTCCAACCGTACCTCCCCATCCAACACCTCATCGCCTCCCGCGAGAAGAAACCCCGCACCTCGCAAGAGCCCCACGGCCAAAGCCACCAAACCGGTCATCCGCCGCACCTCCAACGGAAAGAAGGATGCCCCAACCGAGAAGCGCGTGGGACGGAGACGCGGCCCCTTATTACCAGAGCAGCGCAAACAGGCTAGCGAAATAAGGAAATTGCGAGCCTGTCTCCGCTGTAAATTCTTGAAGAAGACGTGCGATAAGGGCGAGCCTTGTGCGGGATGTCAACCTTCGCACGCTCGTTTGTGGCAGGTGCCGTGTACGCGTATCGATATCAAGGATATTGGTTACTTCATGAAGGACTGGAAGGCAGATTATGAACGTCACGTGGGCAGAGGTGTGTCTGTTTATAATATCAAGGGATTCTCGCAAAAGGAGGAGTTGCTTTGGATTACTCATGGATATGGATTTGCTCTGCCGATTATGGCGAGAGAGGTCTACGTGAGTGATGATAGTTGCTTCAATGTCGACTGGGTTGAGGGTGATCACGAAGAGCCCATCGAGTTTGAAACTCGCACGGAGAGAATGTCTGCTGGTTCTGAAGGTGTCTCGAATGAAGCATTATCTGAGTACCTCGATAAACACATCGATGGGCCTTTTGAAGAATTCATCGATGAGTACTTTGAGGGTACCCCATTCATTACCGAGATCTTGAAGACTGCTCACCGCTACTACATGAAAGAGAAGGTTTCCGTCGTCCGCAAGGCATTGAAACTCGTTCTTGCCTACAACCTCACCTTACACGTTACCATGGTCGAGCAAAGAGGAGACGAGCACCCAATGGAAGGAATCATCGAAGACGAGGACTCTAAATTCAACGGAAAGGTCGTCGCTCCCGTCATGATCAATTTCCAAATCAAATGTGCCCTCGCCGACATGTGGCGTGAGCTTCAAAAGGAGATTCTCGAGGAATTATCCTCGCTATACTCTAGCGTTTACAGTGGCGACAGACTCAAGAACTGGCCTACAATCTTCATGCTTGCATCGATTCTCCTCGCCGTATGGGAAGAAATGCAATTCGATTGCCATTACCGGGTTCCCGACCAAGCAGCCGTCAACAAATTCTGCAACGATATGGAAACCACCCCAGTAGGCGTCATCGTCGGATTGTTCCATGCTATTTCCCAGAAACTCCCTGCGTTTACCGATTGGGAAACGAGAAGACATGGTCAACTCCTCAACAACAACGTAGCTGTCTGCGAAGCCATGACTGAGATGAGAGGTCACGTAACCAAGCATGGTTTGTTCCCCTTTCTCACATCTCCTCTCCAAATCACATAACTAACCTACTCGATCTAGAATCCTACCTCAAAACCCGACCTGACGCCAAATTCGACCGTCGCGATTTCGACTGTCTCTCCAACAAATTCCTCTCCAAACTCGTCATTCGCGCAAATTAATCCTCCTCCTCCATCTATCCCCATTTGCAAATATATAACTTACCTACCTACCTACCGTCTGCTATATAAACCCCTCCCTGTACAAACCTGTTACCCATCTCCGGTTTCCGGTACCAAGATAACGAATTCAATGCTCTTCATGACCACCCATGACATGATATGAAAAAAGAAAACGATTGCAGGAATATGTTTTTCCACCTTTTCTCCTTCTCTCTTTCACAGAGAATGCTAGAAAAAACGAATGAAAAGAATAATTTGTTAATTTCCTATTTTTCTTTTACTATTTTTGTCAACGGCATAGCGTTTTGGTTGTTTTTTGATTTTTTTTCCCTCGGTTTTATTTTCTTCTCCTTTTCTTTTCAATCTTTTATCATCAACATCAACATCCAAGGCAAACAAGCAAAAAGTTTCCTCCACAACCAACTCAACGACCCCCTTAACGAAACAAACGAAACATGTTGATTTTTGTTGTTCCATGCCTATATGTATGTATGGATGTATGTATCTATGTCTGATCAGATTTTCCAGAATTTTTCTCTAAATCTACATCTCATCATTACTTACACACATACATACATACATACATAGAAACATAGAAACACAGCAACAAAATCACCCCCCTTTAACGAAGATCATGGAATTACAAGAACGCTTAACGTTTACATGTCAATGTTTTTATGTTTCTACGGACCCGCTATGTTATTTTTTATTATTCATCATTACTCATTACTCATTATCTATTTATCCATCTATCTCACTGCGTTTCCTTTTCCCAGCCTTCTCACGGAATAAATGGACGGAGAGGTGTTTATTTTATTTTCTTTTTCTTTTTTTTACTCTCATCTTATCTCATGGTCATGGTTTCTCTCAAGCGTTTATTTAAAAGAAGGCAGAAGAAATGATCGAAGTAACTGCCGAAATATGAACCCTATGAAAAGATTATTATTATGGCATGGCGTGCATTGAACTTATTTCTCTCTCGATTTGTTTTTCTCTCTCATTTTTTGTTTATGGAAAGGGGGAAATCAATGCGGCTTGCGATGGGATGGGATGAAAGATGTGCGAAGAGCAATAGCGCGAGCGAGGGGTGTTTTTTTAAGCTGCGAGGGGGAGAGAGAGAGATAGAGTATGGAGAAGGAGGAGGAGGAGGAGGAGGATGTGTATACGAAGTTACTGGTTGCTGGACGCAAGAAAGGCATATTTTTATACATGGGGAGAATCTTCGGGGAGGGAAGGGTCGTAGATAAAAACACCAAAATTTAAAGCCTTTTCACTTGATGAATATTTAAGATTTTTGAAGATGATGATACTTTGATATGCTTGCTGTAGGTATCTTCTGAATATTTAGATGTATACCTAAGATGTTGTGCGTTTTGAAATTCGAAATTTGGATAGATACATGTTTGTGTACCTAGGTTGATTGGTACTTGTTCGTATACTTGTAAAATACCCTCCCTCACTTTGTATAATGAGGACTTACTTAGGGTTATCTTCGGTGATCTCTCGGATGCAAGATGCTGACTGTTGCGTTCTTTTATATGCACGCGGCTATCACCGACCAGGGAAATCGAAAAGATGGAATGAATTAAACTCTGGCTTGTTTCTTGAGAAAGAATTTACATTTATTTCTGCTACTTTTTTCAGTGTGAAGGCGTTGAATGATGAAATCGAGAGGCAAAGAAAGCCACATCTAGAAGTCACGAGACGAAGGAAAATTTGTATACATAGGCCAATCCTTTCAAAAAGAGGTCACATGTTTGAGACTTATCGATGTACGTAGACGTGAGTGGAATAACTGTAGACTTACTCGCATCTTCAATAATACCACCTACAAAATATGTTGAGATTGTTCGTCCTTACCTCTCTCTTCTCAGAAGTGTGGCATCCATCCATTGCCGACTTGCCAGACAGATTTGGAGTTTTTCACTGGCGTCCCAAGGTATTCTCTTCGAAAAGAGTTTGCATCTCCGAGACCTCATCGGGGTTTCTGGTACCAGATACACACATGAAAGGAATCATACGCTCTTTCCCTCTTTGAACCTTGGAAATGGGTCAGCTGCTGACCAAGTGTACCAAGAAAAAGGATTTATTTATGTAGGAGTATGCACAGTGCATAGTGCATAGTGCACACGGTTTCTCTGCTTCTGTATTGCGTTGTCCAATTTATGCACCTGCATTTGGATCCTGGATTGGTCGGTCATGGACAGGCCGACATTGATGGTTGACTGACTGATCCATTTGATTGCAAGAATCAAGGATGTTGATACCATTTTCCATTTTCCATTTTCCATTTTCTTAATCTTTTATCTTTTATCTATTATCGTGATTGGGGTTGGGGTTGGGGTTGGGGTTGGGATTGGGATTGCAATATTGAGCATGGAAATGACGTATCATGAGAGGAAACCCTTTTTATAGATTTTGATGATTGGGAGAGGAAAGTAAAGTTTGGATTATGCGATAACTTGCTGCTACTTGCTAGTGCATTGCGAGATATTCTATGCAGGAGTTTGAAACGGAAAGTGCATCGAATTCTGTACAACTGGCAGTTTTTGGCTGAAAGGTGCAGATTTAAGTTAAACATCAAGCATTGAGACTGAGACTGAGACTAAGACTGAGACCAAGACTGAGAGACGATGAGTAGAAAAGGCAATTATTGGAACTGCAATAGAGACATCTGATGGATGGGGTCCGAGTACGGAGGCGATGGGAGGCGATGAAAGGTAAAAGAAGGAAAAAAGAGAGAGGTTGGAAAAGTCGTTGATGGTTGATTGTTGATTGTTGATGGTTGACGATGTGATAAACGTTGTCCTTTCTATCCATGATTCATTCATCTATTGATTCTCTTCATCGTAAAGCCAAATCCCCGTTGACTGAGACCGAGTTCAGGTAGAAGGCGGGGTTAATGGCAAACTAACCCATTATAGGAAAGGTCTCGAGCCGATAAGGGGAAGTTTGCTCAGTTCTCAAGGTGTTGACGGTGTTGACGGTGTTGACGATTGGAATTTGAGTGTATATTCATCACTTATCACTCTTGGACAATATTATCTAGTAAGTACCAAGAAGATCTTGATGATTATGATTGTGAATGTGAGGAAGCAGTATGATTGATTAAAGGACAATATGGATATGATACTGGGCTTATCTAATAACAACTTATCTAATAATGATCTCTCGACTGTGAAATAATGTACCGGTATTCCGTAGAAAGTACGATGTACACCGTATTGTATTGATTTATAATCATTCATCGACTCCGTACTCGCACGCACCTATTACTACTATTACTACTACTATTCACTCAGGTCCAGATTCCGAGAAGATTCCATTTTCCATTCTCCATCCATTCCAAATCGGTCCAGCCTCGGAAGATTCAGGCGCATTTTCTTTTTCTCTCCGTACGTACCTATTGAATGGAAATCCCTAGAAGGAACGAGTCAACGGTGAGTAAAGAAGGCGAAGGCGCAGCAGTACCTTGATCGGCCAGTCCAGTACCTATGCCTACGCCTACCTATGGACCTGTGATTCATTCACTCATTCTTACTAAACTCTAAAAGGTGGCGTGGCGCTAAGCGATAAGGCAAGTTCAATGCGGTTCCTCCCTTTGAATACCTACTTAAACACTCCATCTCACCCTCAAACATCTCCTTCTTTCTTCCATCATACAACTCCATCAACTCTCTCTTCACCATAACTTCTTTTGATTCTCAATAAATCTTCATCTACAATATCATCTACTTCCATCAAAAGATTAATACTACGAAAACATCATCATGCAGATCTTCGTTAAGACTCGTAAGTTGTCACCTTTCCCGTTTGCCGCCTTCGAGTGGCATCGCCACTTCGCTCCCGGAAACAGCTTCCATCAACAATTTCATCAATAGTTTTATCAAAACATCTGCTAACATGAATCTGCTATAGTCACCGGAAAGACCATCACCCTTGAGGTTGAATCTTCTGATACCATCGACAACGTCAAGGCCAAGATCCAGGATAAGGAGGGAATCCCACCTGACCAACAGCGTTTGATTTTCGCCGGAAAGCAACTTGAGGATGGTCGCACTTTGAGTGATTACAACATCCAAAAGGAGTCCACTCTCCATCTTGTTCTCCGCCTTCGTGGTGGTATGCAAATCTGTAAGTTGATCACCATTGCCATCGAATTACGCCACAGTTTACTAACATCATCACAGTCGTCAAGACCCTGACTGGTAAGACTATTACTCTTGAGGTTGAGTCTTCCGATACCATCGACAATGTCAAGGCCAAGATCCAAGACAAGGAAGGCATTCCTCCCGATCAACAGCGTTTGATTTTTGCCGGTAAACAACTCGAGGACGGTCGTACCCTCTCCGACTACAACATTCAAAAGGAATCAACCTTACATTTGGTCCTTCGTCTTCGTGGTGGTATGCAAATCTTCGTCAAGACCTTGACTGGAAAGACCATTACATTAGAAGTAGAATCGTCAGATACTATTGATAACGTCAAGGCTAAGATCCAAGATAAGGAGGGTATCCCACCCGACCAACAACGATTGATCTTTGCTGGAAAGCAGCTGGAGGACGGCAGAACCCTTTCGGATTACAACATTCAAAAGGAATCCACATTGCACTTGGTGCTCCGTCTTCGTGGTGGTCAATAAATTTTTTTTGATTCGATCTGCACATATAATTTTAGGCGTTTAACGATGACCTGATCCAATGGTGTTATGGGGGCTGGGTTAGCAGGTTCTCATCATAGTGCACTGGCATGTGCCACATTATTGATAGTATTCAATAGTCAAAACTATATTTTTGACATTTAACTGTACACTTTTATGAATGTGATATTGAATAAATGATTGTGATTGTGATTTTAATTAGTATACAAACAGTAGATATCAATGCTTCACTTCCTTATCGTGCATAAAATGGAGTTGGAGATAATGACGGTGTTATGCTCCACCACATCCACCCATGAAGCTAAAGTGATGCGAGGCTGCAGCCGCACAATGAAATTTATACCCCAGAACCTTTCACATCCACAAAACCCTGTGTGCTACAACACCTGCAAAAACTACTTTTTGATACGGATGCAACTCTGACGCGACAAACTATTAACAGTCCATATCTACTCTTCAGGCTTCCAGTTGCCAGACGAAGTTTTTCCAACGAGCAACCCGCGCCACGGTTCCCACAAGCCCCCACCACGAAGCTCTCGCATGACATTCGATTGATGCAGTCGTGAATGAAATTATGAATGGATGAATGAAGAAGTATGCCATCATACTTTTATCATATCAAATTCGAATTGTATCCTTTACCAGATTCGGATCCAGAGAAAGTGAGTAAGAGAGAAAGGGAGAGGGAAGTGTGGGTTCCAGGTGAGGGAACCGATATTTTTGGCTGTACTCCATCATCCACAGGCGGAGCTTGCACCTGGCCGAAACATAAACCTGTTATTTGGGAACAAGGTAGGAGGAGAAAGGGAGGCACTGGGAGCTCGGCAGATTCTGTGCTGGAAGAAAACTCGAGAATCATTATAAAGGGAACTGAGAATCAAATACAGGCGGGCAGTTTGCAGGGTGTCCAGAACGGAGATTCAGGTTCGAGAGTAGCAAAAGGAGGGGTCATTGATTGCGGACCTTCACGGCAGACACGACCTGAAGAGTCGAAAAACCTGATAGTATTGAGCACGACGAAAAATTCGCAATTAGATACCGCACCTCCGAGCGCGAGTTTGGTGGATAAGAAAAGAGATTTGCGAACTTCGAAACGGGATTGGAGGTTTGGGAGGGTTAGGGTTGAAGCATTGGATATGGATGGCGTGAGGGGATATCATCGTAGAGGTCAGGGTAGTCATGGTGGTATTGCCATGAATGCTGGACTAGAGCCGGGTGGTCGAGTTACAAAGGCGAGATTCGAGGAATTACATACTATAGGGGAGAGCGGGTTAGAGTTGAAGAATACAGAGGTGGGATGGGGAGTGGTGCATCTGTATAGGGAGGGGGAGGAAACACCTGGATTGATGGGGGTGGAAGTTTATAACGTAGATACTGCGGCGAATCCCGCAAATGATGCACAAAGTAACGGGTCGAGTGAGTCGGATGGAAAACATAGTGCAGAGGATTGTACACTACTATGCATACCTGCTGTGCCGAGTTACCTTACGCCAAGAGATTTCCTGGGATTTGTGGGAGAGAAGACAATGTATGAGGTGAGCCATTTTAGAATGGTTATGACGGGGAGGATGAACAGGTATATGGTACTTATGAAGTTTAGAGATGGCAATGTGGCAAAGAAATGGAAGGCAGAATGGGATGGTAAGGTCTTTAACAGTATGGAGGTATGTTTTCACTTTAGTAGAAGATATCTTTGTTTAGAGCTGACGATATTCAATATAGCCAGAAACCTGCCATGTCATGTTTATAAAGTCAATCACTTTCCAAACTCCCACCTCCTCCAAATCAAATACAAGTTTTCCAGAACTATCCCACGATCCTTTTACACCAGCTCCAATGCAAAATAACCTTAAACCTTTCCCTCCCCCAACTCCAAATCTCGTCGAACTTCCTACCTGTCCTGTCTGCCTCGAAAGAATGGACGATACAACGGGCCTCTTTACAATTCTCTGTCAACATGTCTTTCACTGTGCATGTCTTGAAAAGTGGCGTGGCACAGGCTGTCCCGTTTGTCGACATACCAATCCCTCACTAGCAATCGCTTCTCAGCAGTCTACCACACCCTATGACCCCGACAATCCACCGTTTGGAAGTGGTGAAGCATCGCTATGTAGTATTTGCGATTGCACAGATGATCTCTGGATCTGTCTCATATGTGGAAACGTCGGATGCGGGCGCTACAAAGGTGGGCATGCCAAAGAACACTGGAAAGATTCGGCGCATAACTTTGCCCTGGAAATAGAAACCCAACATGTATGGGATTACGCGGGTGATATCTGGGTTCATCGACTCATTCGCGATAAAGGCGATAATAGTAAAGTCATCGAACTTCCCTCGTCACGTTCTAGGGGTGCACTGGCGCCCGCGGAAGATGTGGATATGGTTCCGCGGGAAAAACTGGAAAATGCAGGATTGGAATTCACGCATCTTTTGACGTCACAGTTGGAGAGTCAGAGGGTTTATTTCGAGGAGTTGGTTAGCAAAGCGGTTGCGAAGGCGAGTGCGGCGAGTGAGAAAGCCAGTCTTGCGAGTCGCGATGCGGAAGTGGCGTTGGGGAGGTTGAGGGAGTTAGAGGAGAAGTATCGGAAGTTGAGTGTGGATACGCTGCCGAGTTTGGAGAGGGAGTTGGAGAGGGAGAAGAGGAAGGCGGAGAAGGCGCAGGAGATTGCGAGGGCGATGGGGAAGAGTTTGAGGGAGGAGAAGAAGGTTTCGGAGGGGTTGATGGAGAGGATTGGGTTTCTGAATGAGGGGGTTAGGAAGAAGGAGGAGGAGATGAGAGGGGTGAGGGAGGAGTGTGAGGAGTTGAGAGAGGCGAATCGAGATTTGATGGTTATGATTAGTGGGCGGGAGAAGATTAGGGAGATGGAGGAGGCGGGGGAGCTGGATGAGGGCGAGGCGGAGGAGGCGGGGGTTAGTGTGGGGGAGAAGGAGGGAGAGAAGAGGAAGAGGGGAAAGGGAAAGGGCAGGAAATAGATATGCGGATGCGGATGCGGGTGCAGATGCGGGTGCAGATATCTTGATGAAAAGAAAAGATTCTATTTCGGCGTAACAAATCATGGTTTGGCGACTGGGTTTTTTGGGTTGGCGCAATTGGGAAACGAGAGGAAAGGAAATGAGGTGCTAGGTATTGTATTGCATTTCTTGCTTGATACATGGGATGAATGACTGCATGAATGAATGAATCAATACAATGTATCTCTACGAGCAGTCAGGTACAGTCAAGTCTATAGGCGAATTAAAAGAAGACACACATATCACATCGTGTATATCTAGTATATCACTTCTATCCATCCAAAAAGTCATGAAAAGAGTCCGTCAAGATGTTATTTATTCTTCCTCCTCTACCATCTACCCATTTCCCCAATTTCTCTCCCTCCCTCCCCACAACACACAATACAAATCACACTACACAATTCAAAACTCACAATTCACAACTCGCAACTCACACCTCTGCACCACACCTTGCTGACAGCTCATTTGCTTCATTTCAATCAACTTTTTATTTCGATGAGAGGAGATATCAATCATATATAGATTTGCATGCCACATTGCAAACCCAATATAACAAGCATCCATACAAACATCCCTACACATACACATACACCATACCCCTCTCGCCAAGAGCAACAAAAAGAACAGAGCAAAACAAGTACCATTGAAATTTGGAAACAGTCTTGGAAAATAAAATGCACATGTTCATCTCTAGAATTTCTTTGGCCCCCAAAAAGAAAAGAAAAAATTGCATGCATCCATAAAAACATGTAATGCGTGACCCTTTTAACCCCCAAAGCCAAAAGCCAAAGCCCGAATTCAATAAGATACGATAGAGAAATGGCAAAAAAACGGCCAGGTAATGAAGTCCATCCATGAATTACTTTACTCCTTCCCTTCCTCGTACCCTCATTTCTTCTCTCCACAACTTTTCATCCAAAAAAAAAGTGTCTCTGACCATCTTTCCTCTACCTCGAATCTGTTACTCGTCCAGCGATCCTTTCCCTCCTTACATAATAATGGCCGGAACGTCAACATTAGCCTTGATGCTCTTATGTGGAAGAATGCTACCTCCGTTTACATAAATCTCATCACCAATCGTAACGTCATCACCCAATACACTGACATTTTCCAAACGTGCCCATTTACCGATAGTAGAGTTCCAGCCTACGATGGTGCTCTTGACCCAAGCATGATCCTTGACTTTGGAGCCCTCGAGGAGAACACAACGTTGTAAACGAACACCATCACCGATAACAACATTGGGACCAATTGTTACGTTAGGACCAATGCGGCAGTTCTTGCCAATCTTGGCAGAAGGATCGATCAAGACATTGCCGCCGTGTACGTATGGGGTGTTTGGTGGAGTAAGGAGCTTGGAGCCCTTCTTGGTAAGGGAGGAGAGGTAAAGACAAGTTCCAGAGAGGAAATCCTTGGGTTGCCCAACATCCATCCAGAATCCTTCCAAGTCGAAAGAGTGCAATTGACCATCGGCGCAAATGGCAGGGAAAGTCTCTTGTTCAATGGAGGTTGGGCGGAGGTCGATGCGCTTAAGGACACTTGGGTTCAAGATGTAGATACCCGCGTTAATGCGGTTTCCAACGAATTCGACGGGCTTCTCTACGAATCGATCGATTCTGGATGCGTGGTTTGGCTTATGAACAACGACACCATATTTGGATGGTTCTTCAACCTTGGTTACGACAATGGTACCTTCATCACCGTGTTTCTTGTGGAAAGCAGCCAAATCTGCGAAAGGGTATTCGCAGATGACATCCGAGTTAAGAACGAAGAAAGGAGCATCATCCTTTCCGAGAATTTCCTCTGCGAGCTTAAGTGGACCGGCTGTACCTAATGGTTCGGATTCGATGGAGAATGTAATCTTAACGTTGAATCTTTCTTCGTACTATATGTGCCTGCATTAATTTCTGCGGTGTAACCCATGAATTGTTTTCTGGGTGGTAGGAGTGAATCATACCTCAGCCAAATACTTTTCCATGACCTCTGGACGATAATTTACGGCCAACACAATATCTGTAACCCCAGCTTCTGCCAAGGCTTCAACTTGATGCAAAATCATGCGCTTGTTACCGAATTCGACTAAAGGTTTTGGGAGGGTAAGAGTCTATGGGTAACAGTCAGTTGATGGGTGTCTTTTGAAAGCTTTGTAGGTTGTGCGAAGGGCGCCATGAAGATTTCGAATATCGTATCATGGCATTGGGAGAACGTACGAGTGGGCGAAGACGGGTGCCAAAGCCACCGACAAGAATGAGAGCTGTGTGAATATGTTAGCGATACCTTTCCAAACGGTCTGCGAATGCGGAAACAGCTTACCCTTCATTTTGATAGTTTGTGAGAAGTGAAATGTGTAGAAAGGTTGTATGTATTTCTCGTTCTACCCCACAGTGTAAGAGGATAAGAACAAGTGTCGAGAAGGTCTAAATTGAGTTGGATGTTGATCACCACGTCTACTTAATGGAAGATGGTGAATGTTGAGGTGTCCTTGTGAATTGGATATGCTCAAGCACGATTGGAATTGTGAAGGGGAAAAGAAGATGTAGATGGTAGAATTAAAATTGATTCGACATAGAGATCAACGAATGTAGGTGATGCTATTAAAGTATTTAGCAAAGAGAAGATTGAATTGAATTACAAAGGTTCAAAATAGTCTTCTTATGTTGTCGTTGTTGAAGTTGGAAAGAATTTATGTTGAGATGATGTGTGAATGTGAGTACAATAATAATAAGTGTGCGTACAAAGTAGTATACGTACTAGTATCAGAGAAGGCCACTGTGGTCAATGGATGGAAGGATAGATCAATCTATTTTAGGGATGAACAGTACTACCAGGTTGGTACTAAACTACCTCAGTCATATGGTGAATTCTACTGTGAATGAACGTTTTATCGTACTGGGGAAAGGGGTTACGCAGTAAGCCGTAGAAAGGAATAAAATAAAATAATAAGTGGCTCTCAATTGGCCCTCAATGGCTCTTAATGGCTCTGAAATAAGATTGAAGATTAATAAAAGGATGCATTCATTCATTCAATTCAATTCAATTCAATTCAATTCAATTCAATTCAATTCAATTGGTTCAAAGTTATATAATCCAATGAATTCCATCGAAAGAACACGTTCTCGACTTTTATATGGTCGCCTCTAACTTCTCGTGCTAGTGTGTATTTAAAATTGAAGGGTCTAATCGAATGATTGAAGTTGATGAGCTTCCTGGCTCGGTAGTGTAGTAGCGATGACTTGGGTCAAGTTTCAAGATGCATATTCTCATGTACGTATGTATTACCTGCTCGTATCATATATTGTATGTGTTATATGTGTTACTCAATGCTGGCGCTCATTTCTATTCCGTCGACTCAAGTATTGTTGATGATATGGGTACACATATCAAAGTCAAATGAGTGCGGGTAGGTACGGGCAGCTAAATGATGATGTACAATGCAAAGATTGGCAAAGATCTCGAGAAAGACCTGGTAGTCGAGATGTAATAGACACCTAGTTGAGTACCTAGGTAACATATAGTAAAGCATCTATCCAACACATCCATAGATAGTTAGTTCTTCATATGTCGTGACTGTGAAAATAGGAGTAGACGAATATTAAGGTTAGAAGGAACCTTGGAAGTCAGAACTACCTGACTGTCTATCTACGTAAGGTTAATGAGTCTTGGCCTGTAAGGGAACCCCGTTAAGATTCATCTTACAAGCAACCTCCTTCATCCCCCTATTCGCAAACTCAAAATGATTGAAGATGATGCCGAGTCGAAGTTTGTCTCCCTACATCGTATCCCCTTTCCATCCATCTTACATATCATGACTGAATCCCCCCAATATACCATCACCATCACCACTACCACCCATACAACTCAACACAGCACAACGAATTATCTCCAAACTCCACGACAAACTTCCCCATCGGAATTCAAGCAGCAAGAATCGTGTCAAGAATCGTGTCAAAAACTAGTCACCCTCGCGTGTTCTTCAATGGCATAAAAGTCGTAAGATGTACTGATACATGCTTCCCCCCCCTCTCCCTTCATACGAGGTGGTGGAAGTCGCCGATCCAAACTATCGTTGTCCTTCGGTATCAGAAAGCATCACGAGATGAGAAAAAAAAAGGATAATGTGGCAGTGCATGATAACTAAACTTCCCCATCCAAGACGCCACATCCCTCGGCGGTTTTATGAGTTGGTTGCCGATCAAACATCAATTACGTCGTCTTAATGCTGACGCTTGTCGTCAATACTCGAGCATTGTTGTCACTCAGCACAAATGCCAAATAAGAGAGACGGATCTTGCGATTCTTGTTTGCACAGTAATATATGACAATCTCCATATTCTAGCTTTTCACTAGAGCTTCATCACTGTTTGTTGGAACAAGAGTTTTCGCAAATGGTTCGGGTTACCATAGTTGGTAATCCATCCATCAATTTTTGATCCGAGCTCGCTGGATTAATCAAAACATGCCAATTGGTATATCACCAATCTCATGAATAGCATGAGCAGCCCCGAATATTCAATGAAACAGTCATCCTGAAAAGGCCACACAATTTATCTATACTCTGCGAGATCCCCTCACAAAAATGACCCCCTACTCCCAACCCCTTTCCCTTTCCAATCGCGAAATCCGCATCCTCGTCCTTCAACCCCTAAGCCAAGGCACCCCAATCCAATGCACCGTCGAAACCATCTCTCTCCTCTCCCATCCTTCATACGAAGCATTATCCTATGTCTGGGGCGACGCCTCAATCCGACAAACCATCACATTCAATGATACTCCCTTCTCCGTTACTCAAAATCTGGCTATTGCACTATATCATCTCAGACTACCTCTTGAATCGCGAAGACTTTGGGTTGATGCCATCTGTATCAATCAATCCGATGTTAAAGAACGCAATGAACAGGTCACGCTGATGGGTGAAATTTATTCTCTGGCGAAACCAGTTTTGGTTTGGTTAGGTGAGACCTTTGAGGGGTGTGAGGAAGCTTTTGATTTGATGTCTAAAATTTCTATCGCGAATGAAGATGAAATCATGGAAGAGGAGTCTCAAACCATGTTTTCCTTTTATATGGAGCTTGTTGAGAAAGAATGGTTTACTCGTCTATGGACCATACAAGAATTGGCACTAGCGGATCAGGAACCTCTAGTTGCTTGTGGATCTACCTGGACTACCTGGAGTTTACTGTCAAAAGTGTGGCAAAAAGTTGCAATGATTGAATTCACGAAAATGGGAATGATTATGATGGAACGTGGCGAGGAGAATGAGAATACAAACAAGACTGCTGTTCCGCAGGGTGTACGCACCAGTACTATCAAAATCGATCTTCTCAATAATTTACGCAGGGCAGTTACTGATAAAAAAGGTAAAGATCTTCGGGGTCTGTTACTCAACACCGTTACATCTAAAGCAACAGAACCTAAAGATAGGATATATGCTTTACTAGGCATGATGGGGTCCTCAGACCGAAAGACCATCACAGTAGATTACAGTCGATCTCTAGGAACAATATACGCAGACGCCATATCCCACATCTTTCATAAAGGAATAGGACCTTCCTTTCTTGCTGGTTTGGAACTAGCTGGTCCAAATCCCCCATTCCAGTATTCTTCCTTTCCATCGTGGGTGCCAAGGTTAGGCAGCGGATCTCTTCTTCATTCTACTCTTTATCATCCCCCAGGTGTAGGAGTCTCGGGAGCAGGCAGCACTGCCATCAATGGCCACATATCTCCCGATCTCAAAACCCTCTACGTAAGAGGTCTTTCAATCGATACCATTGCCGAGAAATTTACCTTTGGCCCAGATAATGAATGTCTCACCCAACTCTCCCACGTCGAAGAAATGGTTCTCAAAGCAAAGAATCTCGCAACCCTCCACTTACATCATCGCCCCTACCTCCACACCTTCAAAACCAAAGAACCAGTATGGAGAACTCTCATCACAAACAAACTCTACACCGGAGCCGGCTGTGAAGTTGCACCTGAAGCTTATGGTGAGATTTACGATATTCTACTAAACAATAATTCGCAGGACCACAACACCAGCCACGATATTTCTTGTCAAAACAACGACAGCTCGCACAACTACAATCAGAAAATTAGAGACTATAAACTCTCTCTCCTGAACCGCCTCCCCAACTCCGCTTTCTTCATCACCACCACGGGGTTTTATGGCATGGCTCCTAAGTCGATAGAAATTGGAGATCAACTAGCGATTTGGTTTGGGGCAGCAGCTCCTTTTGTTTTGAGAAGGCAGGATGCGAAGGGACAAAACTCTTTGCATGATGATAATCAGAAGCATTCCGATATCGTAGAACAAGAAGGAGAAAGCCACCAAGATGCAAACGAAAAAGAACAAAGTGAGATCTTCGCAGCAGTCACAGTAGCATACGTAGCAGGTATCATGGACGGAGAAATAGTCGATGAAGTGTATTGTGAGGATTTGGAAGAGGATGTTGTGTTTACTGTTCGATAGGTATGAGGATGATGATGGGGTTCTTTATGTAGGTATGTAGGTAGGTGGGTAGATGATTTTTTTTACTTCAGAATTTGTGTTTTGTAGGGGAATTGTGGAATCTATTGGTCTGTTTATTTATTCATTTATCTACTTATCTGTATAAACCTAGGTAAATAGATATACAATTCGGAATCGAGATCGAGAATTGTATATGGAGGAATAGGTTACTTTTGAGTTATATATAAATGTATAATGAATGGATGAATGGGTAGTTTGTATCAATATATTATTTATCAGACCGGAGTCGAAACATACAACACAACGAAAGAAAAGTAGAAATAAGTATTCAGCACCAATGTAAGTTATGTAAGAGCGTTACGAATCGAAAAAATCACTCGGAGATAATCGATTGTGACAACCTCAAACATGCCTCCAAATCCAAATCCAAATCCAAATCCAGATTCTAACTCCCTATTCCTAGCTCCCCCATCCCCAACCACAACCCCATATATCCCTCTCCCTCTCCCTCTCCCTTTCTCTCTCCTCCTCTCTCCCCCCTCCCCTCATCAACCCCACAATCTCAAATTCAATACATCACATCACATTCAACTCACTTGCAGAGTGTTCCAAGAGATATCGTTAATGTTAACGTTAATGTTAATGTTGATATTGACATGAATATTCTCTATCAATCTCAAAGAACTACAAACATACTCATCCTGTTCATCCTAATGACATCCGAATTCTCTCAATCACCTTCACTCCCACTCCCACTCCTATCCCTCGGCTCCGCATAAAACCGACGTGAAACCCCCCTCGTTTACAAAAATCTGATTTCGGCACAAAACTCTCCTGCAAAATGTGAATCCAATTGTTGTTGTTTTTTTTTAGACGCATTCCCGTGCGATATTCCTTGTATTTTTGTATTTACATGTGAATAAACGCCATCCGACTTTGCGGAATACTAAACGTTGCTAGTATGCTATGCTACATTGAGCCTCCCAATTATTACTATATATGTATGTATACCCTTTCGCTCCCAAGCTCGCCGGCATCTTTTTCCATTGCCCTTTCCTTTCCTTCCCATTCCTTGCTCTACCCCAATCCTCCCAGTCCCAGCCAATCTTTCCAGCTGTCAACTATAGTGATTGCAGCATCCGATATGAAATTCCCGCCGCCGTCGTTGCAACTGATGCATCCTTCTTCAAATTTTCGCCAACCCATCCATCCTATAATACAATTTCCATCCGCCCGATTCCTCCCTATTGCTGCCCGGCCCAGCTCTGTCCAATGCCCAATGCCCAATTGACCGAAGCCCTATTTCCAATTTTTCATCACGGCCCTACGCGTGAGTACCAATATCACCCTGGGTATACCGGCCCGAAGAAACAATTCGCGAACCTGCGAGTAAAGAAAAGGAAAAAACGCTTATAAAGAAATGATAATAATAGAAAAGTAATCGACAAAAAGAAAATATGGAGAGAACGCTATTCAGATGAGTATGTGCGAGTTCCATGCATGCCCAGCGCCGCCTCGAAGCTGCCCGGTACTTCCATACCAGGCTCTGCTATATGCACCCAGCCCAAACCACAAAGTTACGCAATAAAAGGAGAGGCTTCAAGATGTGCCTATAGAGCCAGTCCCTACCCGAGGAACAAAAAATGAAAACCAAAGAGGCCACACGGCCATAATTGGGGATGATTGACAAAAAAAAAGGAACTGAGTATGGTTATATGCAATGAAATGGATAAATGAAATGGGCATTTTGTTATCGATGAGACGCCCTTTTAGATGAAGGTCAATACAGCACTTGTTTCGTGTAATGAATGGCAACTCTCTGTAACCTTATTGATAATATTCTGGTTGTGATGTTGTCACAATATGTGCGGGGGGTCGACCTTCGTAAGGATCTCTCAGAGGAAGGCCGAAATGACCCTGCTCTGAATATTGCCCTATGTTAAGACTTTCTCCTGGTAGTGGTTCATATGCAGTGTCTCTCCGATAGCCGGGAAATCCAGGCGCGATGGGATTTCTCCCCAGATTTGATGGCGGTAGCATTCCGGTAAGGCCACTGTGTGAAATATGTGATCTTGGCGGATATCCCATAGCTGGATAATCGGTTGACTGCCTGTGATTCAATGGATTGGGCTCTGACAATATAGGAACGGTCGAATGCAGTGGCCCTTGCGAATGTGCATGATAGTATGTGGGAGATGGGCGTTGATTACTCATATCGAATTGTAAAGATCTGGGTTGAGGTGAGTCATGGATGTGGGTATTCGAGAGTTGATTCGAAAAGAACTGATCTCGAACCGGTGTAGTCATTTCCTGGGGAGAATGTGCATAATTCGAGGAGTTATAGTCGTTGTAACTCTGCAAAGGGTGTTGACTTGGAACATGATGGCTCGCAAAAGAAGATTGCTGTTGCTGTTGCTGTTGCTGATGCTGCTGTACATTAGCGTACCCTCTATGCCATTCAAGTGAATCGGCAGAAGCTTGTTGATTGAAATTTGGGCTTTGCGATTGGCTTGAAAGGGTATCAGTCCTTACACGCTTCAACCGGCGTTCTTCCGGCGACGAGGATTCCTGAGAATAGACCGAGTATCTATCTTGCAAACGTGTAGTCTGATGGGGAGCTTGTTGTTGTTCGCTGTATTTACTCGCCTCGGGAGAACCCGACTCTTCATCCGGATCTTGAATTCTGGCACGATACTTCTTGGGCTCATAATCATCAAACGCAGGACCGCGCTTTCTGAGCAACGACCGGGGCTCCTTACGAACCCTCAACTTGAGCCCCTGCTCCTGGAACTTTTTGGTCATAGTGGTCGACTCCATCATTCCAGGAAAAGCTTTCGACGAATACACATTAAATTGATCTGACGAAATGCATCCCATCCACACCACTTCGTCTTCGCGGCTCTCGAAGAGATTGAACTCCAATATATAGGTACCTTCTATTTTGGCCGACAAATCGCCAAATACAAAATACGCGCCCCATTCGTCAGTTTCCGGATCCTTCAGGCGATGACAAGATGAGACGGTGGTTCCTGCTAGTAAAGCTCCATGGGATGTTCCAGCTTGCATATCTGTGACTGGCGTAAGACTACTTTTCATGAAAAAATGTGGGTCTGCAAGTGTTAGCAATTGAAATAAAGCCACAGAGATTACCTTCATACTTATAATATAACGTTCACCGGGGTCGACTGCGTGGGATATTAAGAGCTGAACAACGGGCGGAGGGTCAACTGCTCGACGGTCTGGAAACAAATTAGATTTCCGCCAGTACAGAAGATTGTAGGCCAATTTACCTTTCTCTTTGCCCATGTTAACTCTCGCGTAGCGAGGTTGCTGTCTTATGATGAGCTTGCAGTCTTGGCTTCATTATCATACATTAGTAGTTGTTCGAGCAAAGGCGAATTTGAAAGTATGGCTGGAATCATGAGGGGCATACCTTTGTAATCCAGGAATCTGAAGAGATTGCGCCTGCGCGAAGTCGTGCGATGGTTGAGAATTCATACTTAGTATTATAAATTATTTTATCTAGATTCGAGATCTTTTTATTCCTCGGATTGATCGTATACTTTTGTGCTGTGCTTGCGCCACAGATGTATAAATCGACAGTTCGAGTATTGTGTGACTAAAAAATAACAAAAATGGGTTCAGGAACAGAGGAGGTAGAGGGGAGGCAAGATCTTCTTCTATATCCGAGATCTGGTTATTTTCTGATGAATAGTACTTGCAATACAGGCAAGTTTGGCTGGTGTTCGCGAGTCCAAGTCCGAGTCCAAGTTTGAGTTTGAGTCCGACTCCTAAATACTAACAAGGAAACAAACAACTGTGAAGAGACTTTGTACTGATAGATAGGAAGGTGAAATTCCTTCGCTTCGTCTTGTTGTTGTATGGCGTCTTGTGGCTGCGATGAAGGTGAGAGTAATCGATTTTTGAGAGTGGGTGGAAGGGTGTAGATAGAATTGAGGACAACCAGAAAGTACTGGCGTTGGATAAGAGAAGATCGGGAAGCATATGTTCTTGATTCCTGATGGCGTTTTAAATGATTTATAACCCTACTGGTGGTTATAGGCCTGGATAATCTTTGAAAGAGTCGAGGTCCCTTCGAGGTAGTGCCGCCCAAGATAGTCCGCAGCTAGAGTGTCTCCTCCTTTCGATCTTCTGATGTGCGCCAAAGAACTGCACTGTCTGTCAAGGTGTGTATGTGGACGCGAAGAAACGCTGTTAAAGAATGAGAGGGGGCCGCCTCTTACTTTCCAGAGAATGTGGAGGCTCTGGGTTTGGTATCTTGTTGTTTTGAGACTGAACTTGATATCGAGGAGATTCTTGAAATATCAGATGCGAAAACCAATGGACAGAATTCTCCACTTTGATGATGATTATGATAATTGAGGAACTCTTGGCGACGATATCAATGCCGTGAATGTAGAGTTGTCCAAGATCCTCGAGTCTTCGATTCAGGTGAACTTGTAGGTACACAAGGTAAAGATTCAACGGTCGTGTATTGAAGAAATGAAAACTGACAATATGCGACTGATGTAAAGCACTGGGTGAGTAAGACTTTAAGCAGTTCTGATTGGTGCTTCACGAGCAGCGATACTCGGTACTCGACTCGACTTGAACAAAATGATGGCGCGGATAAGAAATGCAGGGACAGAAGGGATTTTCTCTCTGATGCTCTCTGACCAACCAAAGTGATTGAGTGATTAAACCGAGTAACGTCTTGAAGCTCTCTCTTAAGTAAGTACTATACCTTACTGTCTTTAGAATGAGGTGATTTGAAGACTTTATATGAGGCTATGAGCTTGTGATGCAAATGATACATCCAAGTTCTCGTTGTCGAGCAGGCAAAAGATGTATCGATGTAATGTATTTCATCTAAGTTGTTTGTATAAGAACAAACAAAATACAAGTGATGAAGTCTAATTAGAATTTATCTTTGGAGACAAGGTACAAGAATACTTTTTCGAGGAAGAAGTCCGTGAGGTAGTGGTATCGATGGCAGTGATGGATGTAACGGGTTCCGAAGAGGCAGTTGCAAGCCCAGGCTAAATTTGTATCGCTCTTCCCCAACTTTGAGAGATCTTGATGACCTCTATGGCTACTTTCCACCCAAACGGGCAATTTCTGGTGCACTTCCGGAATCTAGGGTGATATGGAAGGAGTCTGATTAATGCCGAGTTGGAAACGTAAAGTATCGTTATGGGTTTCAAGATTACCTGTAGGGTAACGGCTAGAGGGTTATCTTTATTGGTTCAAAACGATGGAAAAGGTGTGATGTTGAAGAAATAGATAGATGGGTATGTGGCTAAGGCGATAGACTAGCAAAAGAAAGAGAAGGAAAATATGGAATGAGGCGAATTAGCTTATGAGAATATGGTGTAAGTGATTAAGGGCAGGATTTTGGAGACGAGATGTGCGTTTATGTTGCCCGTTGCCGAAGTCAAGATTTAATTCGATGAAGCACTTGAATTTCCTCGCCTTGTTCATTGATAGCCAGTTAAGATGACAGGGCCCCAGGTCCCCTCTAGAACCTCAATCGAATATGTATTTTTAAAAGAAGGACATTGGACAAGCGCTTCATGCCTGCTTGTTCTTCCTCAGACCCATGTTCAGCACCCCAGATACATTTGAGATGAGTGATATTGTAGCAGGAAGGAAGGCTCCTCGTTCCCGGTACGCCCCCTACGGTACTTCATATATGCCAGGTGTATGAGCAGAGCAGAGTTGAGTCGACTTGAGTGGTGAGAGCCCGAGTGATACCGATCGTCTCACCCTTATGAAATGATTAGATTAGAGTAGTGAACGTTTCCAAGATTCTTCGTTTGTGAATTGATAGATAGTGTGGGTACATATATCGTTTAGTCTTCCTTGTCGATAAAGTAGAGTGACATGGTATGGGGCCGCACAGTCCATTATCTATGGAGTAGAGATATTAGATATATTGATAGAAATGATTGCCACAATATAAGAACCAATCGAGATCTAATATCCTTCCCGTCGAGATGCCTCTTTCTCTCTTCCGTGGCTATTAATTTTAGGATTTGACAACATCTAGCATGGGTATCTTGCTGTCAGTTTGGTCTGTACCTGAGGTTCTGGACTCTAAGGTCGAGTCAATTTTCAGAATTCGAAATTCCAATTTCCAAGGGCACATGACGTTGACGAGAGGCATTTTAAGACTGTACGGAGATAGCTGGAGAAGGACGTTCACCCCGATGTAAGAATCTTATCAGACAGGCGTAGTGTAGACCTAGTAGTCTCAATGCATACACCACATCCACAAGGTAGCGTTGGGAATAGCCATACAAATGAACTTAGTAAATAGGTACTCACATTAAATGAAACAAAAAAAGAAAATAGCATATTGACACAATACAACGCGGAACTCACCCATGAGCTCCATCAATTCATGTAAGATCTTCATTTGATGCACCATGCACAGCGTTTATTGAAGCAGTCGGCAACCCAAACGAAGACCCAAAAGAATGGAATATCAGACGTAAAATGAGATATGTATGATAGGCGCGAGAGAGAATTGTGAAAAGATGTTACTTGCCTTGCCTAGGTAGGTACTTTACCTTGGCCGACCTGATTGATATGGATAAGGAAGAAGTATCCCCCCCCCAAGTAGAATTGGCCGAGAACAGGACATTGTGTGTGCACAGAATGCTTAATAATTCACATCATTCATCGATTGGGGAATTATCTCTTCTGAGCTGCCTTTTGCGTTCACCTTGCTGTTCGATGGCCGAAGTACATTTATGGTTGTAAACGAACAGCGAACAGGAAACAGGAAACAGGAAATACTGCATGCACGTACATCTACAGTAATTACCCAGTAGCTACAAGTAGATTTTATACGCGAGGAATTTATCCGTATATACGACGTAGAAATGCACGCTATACAAATACGCTATGCCTAGGTAGGTATTAATACAATAGATACAGGGATTCTAGGAGGAGGGGGAAGACCATGCTATGCATCAGTAGCTCGTGGCTGCTCATACCACCACCACCACCACCACTACTACTACTACCACCACCACCACACACACACACACATTCAACCTTATTGTCTGCCCCCCCACGACGCAAATTGATCAACACTATCAAAATACCTATATTCTAACCAGTGTATCATTTTGTATATATCATTCTTACAATACAATATCTACCCCAAGTACATCTACAAGTCATTGTACCAGTATATCGCAAACTACTATGTGACTTATACAGTCATGCTATATCAAGCTCGAAACTTGTATTCATATGCTTGTCCTCTTATAACATATCCGCATTGTTTTCGGATCCCTTGGAACTCTTGCTAATTTACTCTCCAACTTCTTCAAAGCATGTCGGTTGCCAAAAAGTGTAGACTACTAGAAACCCAATACCGGTTAATCTGCATCACCATATGTAGGAAGAATGCAAAATCATCGTCTTAAAATACAGCTGGATGTTCACGCATATGGACGCATCAGAGAATAATCTGCCCGTTGGTAATGCTACTGTTGTATTGGTGGTCACTGACTGACATTTGATTTTCAGGGAACGAATCTTGGCTTGGAATTCAAAGGCTAGAACCTGTCAAACGCTTAGATTGCCATCGCAGCGAGACGTATCATATGACGAGATGGAACCTCATCTGTTCCTCATAGGTTAATCTATAACCGCTACAGCTAACAGGATATGAAAGGCTTCATGCAATGTTATGTCCTTCCTCCTACCTACCTCATTTCGTGGAGGTTGAAGTGGCAGGGTCATGGATTGGTATGTTACTCCAGAATATGGGCTAATCGATTCTAAGCAAAGCAGTCTCAAGTCCGAGTCCGACTCCAAAGATTGAAAAACAGCATAGTGAAATGAGTATGGAGAAATACATTCAGAATCCGATTGTCTGATAAATTTCAGAGAAAATACCCACAGTCAATATTTCAAACGGAAAATAGTATATGCTTTAGGAGCCGTAGTCGTACCAAGAGACAATTGCATGAATTGATGGATATCGAGGTATAACCATCCTCCTATGGACTATATATCGACCAATATTTTATATGCCTGATCAAATCATGGCTGACAACATAGCATTGAAATCTTCGAATGTTTTCCCAGAAGTTCCAGATACCGGTTTCTTAACAATGCTTATGAAACCCTCCACGACTTTGATGTCCAAATCTTCTTCTACTCCACTAACTTCTTGATCCAAGTCTATCACTTTCGGTCAGAGATTCTATTTTGGAAATTCCCGGAACTGATCGGGAAACGGCACTTAATGTCAAATTAGCCTATGTGCGGCGAATACTCCTCATCTACAGGGTACGTCGGAACGCTAGAAGGAGAAACTCAGAAATTTATACAGGGCTCAAGCCTTAAGGCCCTATCAGACTCAGGGTATTTGATAAAATCTCATCTGGCATTGGAGCCACCGTCCGGCGTTTTCACACCATTGGACATGGGATATGGAACTATTGTCGGTCGTTCTTCCGCTGCACAGATCACTCTTG